TGATACAGACCTATAGAATTATTAACAATATAGATATTGTCTCATGGAGTGAATCCCAAAGACACCAGTTTTTTACAAATCGAATAATTAATCATTGGAATGCATTACCTTCAGATGTTGTATGCGCTTCATCTGTTAACAGTTTCAAGGCTCAGCTAGATGCAGAAATTTCAAATAATCCGCATAAGTATCGAGATTATATCTAAAAAAAAAAAAAACTTATACTTTATACAATATGTCTATGTAAACCTTTATATATTGATTTAAATAGAGTATGAAGTAGATAAGGCTGCCATAAACTGTAGGTTATACAGGGAAACCTGTTGCAGCATTTTTCTACTACTACTACTACTATAAACGTAAAATCTTCAGCGTAACAGCCCTAATGTTTCGTAATATTTTCGGCTTAAAATCGTCAGGCTAGAAAAAAAATTTTTTGAAAAAAATGATTTTTTTATTCAGATATAAAATAACTAAATGTTAATAATATAATTCAGTTTCATTTAAAAAGTATTTTAGGTAAATTTTAAGTACCACGGCATAAAGTTACTACTGTTTTGTAACATTAGGGCTTTTGCCGTTTCCCTTTCGAAAATCAAAAGAAACAAAAAAGGGAATAATTATAGCTAAATTCAATGCTAAATCCCTCTTATTATTTGCAAGTTCCTCTGTTCTTCCTCATTTTTTACCTAGAATGGCCTGTTACTACTATAAAACTTATTTTTTTAATTTTTTAAACGGCAGAGTAATAAAACTGAGGTAAATATTTTGCTGCGTTTGTTTGTATTTCATGCATTTTATAAGTTTCGCAAATATTTAGAAGTAAGAGTTTATTTTTGTGTAATCTTGTTCCTTTCTATAAAAATGCAAGAAATAATTATAAAAAGTTAAATTGGAGCATAAAATATTAAAGTTTATTAGGATTTTATGTTTTTTTTTGTTGCAACATTAGGGCAATAATTTTTTTTATTTGTTTATTTATAAATCTTTTTAAAATGAGATCTTTCATCTCCACAAATATATAAAATGATAACTAAAAAAATATTTTTCATCAATGTTTCCGATTACTTTATTAAAAAGATTCATCTAAACCATTTTTATAGTTACGTTGCGTTGAGGATACTTGGGCCAGCTGTTCTTAGATTGAATCCTTGCGTTTCTCTATAGTCTTCTACCAAAAAATGACTGAAAAGAAGTAATCAACTTACTTAATCAACCTAATTTTTTTAAAATTAGTTAAGGTATCACCTAATAAATTAACTTATAATTCATTATTGTTCTTGAAAACTTCAAGTTTGAGCATAAAAATTATTGCATTACTTGTTTTATAGTACCATTATTTTGTCGCTAAAAACTTATAAAAACTGTATTTTACTTTATTTTAAGTCTTTATAACATGGTTATAAGATTTATTTTACAAAAGCATTTATGAGTGAAAAAAATGTTTGGCCCTGAGAATATTTTATTCCCTCATGACCCATCACTTTTTAAACTATTTTGTTTTTCAATAAACTCATCACTTGCAATAGGCCGGTAAGCAAGACGGCATGGTGGTCTGTAATAAGGCTGTAGGGCTTATTGGAGCACTCTTATAACTAAAAAGAGTATTTAAAAACAAAAGGTTTGTTGTACCTAAAATATTGCGGCCTCTATTCAAAAACCATTTTGGCTCTGGGTAAAGTTGTATGTGACACAGTGCGTCTAACTTCAGAATAGACGATATTCGAAATTTTTTAAATTCCGGAATAATAAGAAACTTGAATCTTTCGTGCGTATTTTACACAAAAAAGTAGATATAGAATAAATAAAATAAACAAACAGCATAAGAAGTAACATTGGATTTGTTTATATTAGTTTAATTATTTGCTTAATATGGCTACATCACTTTTCTTTTATTGGTTTTTCCAATCACTCAACCAAATTTAAAAAGTGGAAAGAAGCTATTTGTGAAATTCATAAATGTTCAAAAGAAGATCCTAATTGCTGTTGTTCTGAACCATTTAAACTTATTCCTTTTCCTACTGAAGAAAAAGACCCAGAGCGTCGATCCATTTGAAAAAAATTGATAAATCGGGTAAATTCAGACAAATCTCAATGGGAAGCTTCTAATTACAGTAGAATTTGTTCGGAACATTTTATTCATGAAAAATTTGAATATCCTACAGAACTATTGGGATACAACCCATTAAATAAAATAATAATTTGTTCCTTCTGTTTCATCTAATTGTAATCGACCAATAAATAAACGAAATAACAACATAATTTCTGATTCATTTTCAATAAAAACAGCCACTATATCCGCCTCTACTTGTAAAAATGCATATGTGATTACAGCAGTTAATAAAATAAATGCTAAAATGTTAAAAAAAGAAACAGTTTAAAGAACTCTACTTTTAAAACTAAAATCCAAACAAGCATTAACTAAAAATCTTTGGTAATGCATAATAAAGTTTTTTCTGTTTTTTCTTCAGAAATATTGACAGACGATCTAGATACTTTAGCATCTAAAAGTCAGTTTGTATCAAATACTGAAAAAAATATTCAATTAAATTCAATTGTTTTGACTTAAATGGTCTTTTTAATTTTAACACTCTATGCTTTAATTATCAACTGTTATTTAGAAATTAAGAAGTTAAAAGCTGAAAATATTAAACTTCAAAACAAAATTATAATGCAACTAACTAAGCCTATATCTGTATAATAGAAACTTTTATCAAACAGTAATGTAAAGTTCTATACAAATCTTGGTTCTTTAGAGTTATTTAATAAATTGCATGACTTTATTAGCCCTTATGTTAAAAAACAATTTAATTCTGTTTCTGTTAAAAGAACTGTCAGTGAAACACTAAAAAAAGTAGGACGTGCAAGAAAATTATGTTCACAAGATGAGTTTCTGCTGACTTTAATGAAACTTCGATTAGGATCATTTAACAAAGATCTTGCTAGTCGTTTTTTTTTTATATTTCTATTACCACATGTTCCAAAATATTTCATTCTTGGATAAGAACATTAGCAGAAGTTTGTAAGCATCTTATATTTGTACCAGACCTTGGCACGTTAAATGCAACAAGCCCTTTATGATTTAAAAAATATAAAAATTTGGCAGCTATTATTGACTGTTCAGAAATTTTCATACAAACCCCAAGAAACTTAGAATTGTAAAGTGTTACTTAGTCTGAATATAAACACCACAATACTTTAAAGTTTTTAATAGGTGTTGCTCCTAATTCTTTTAATGTTTATATCAGAAGGTTATACCAGTCGCATTTCCGACAAAGCGTTAATTATGGATTGTGGTTTTCTTGATTTATTATCTCCTTTTTCTATAGTTATGTTAGATTTATTTGCATGATGAATGCACTGCTCAACATTTATTTTTTATTGTACCACCTGGTCAGCGAGGAACATCACAAATGACACCTTTTGAAGTTAAGAAAACAAGTTAAATTGCTAAAACTAGAATTCTTGTGGAATAAGTTATTGGAAGATTAAAACCATTTTGTCTTATAAGTAATGAATTATATAAAATATGTATATATATATATATATATATATATATATATATATATATATATATATATATATATATATATATATATATATATATATATATATATATATATATATATATGTGTGTGTGTGTGTGTGCGTAAAAGAAAAATGCCGGATAACAAATTAAAAAAATTATTCAAACTTAGATGAGTAAAATATATTTGTTAGTTAAACTTAAATAAATTTAAGTTTGAATAGTTTTTTTCATTTGTTACCTGAAATTTTTCCTTCTACACACATACATACGCACTCAACCACACACACGCACACACACAAATATATATATATATATATATATATATATATATATATATATATATATATATATATATATATATATATATATACATATATATATATATATATATATATATATATATATATATATATATATATATATATATATATATATATATATATATATATATATATACATATATATATATATTATTCTTGTTTTAAAAGCAAATTTTTAAAAATTGCAAAGTTGTTATTAGATATCTTAATAACTAATTTTTAATAACTTATAAGATATAAGATACCTTAATAACTATTTATTTAATTTATAACACATACAATACAGCTAAGTACTAATATTTTAATTTATTTATGTAATATTTCAGTCTGAATAGTTCAGACCGTCATCAGACGTAAAATTAAAACTTAATAACTTAAAATAACTTAATAACGTAAAATTAAAACTTAATAACTAATCTTATCACTTATTTCCACTTCGCATTGTTTATATCTACTTTTTTATGTAAAAACGCACGGAAAAATATTTCTCGCCTTTCAAAATTAATTTCAAATATCGTCTATTGTTTTTTTAAGTGCCGAAAATCGCATAGATCTTTCCTTACGGGTTACTTTACTTTTATTTTCAGGGGGTTCACACATAAGCATATATTTTACTTAGTAAAAATGCAGTTTAAATTGGTGACTTATGTTATTCAGTGAACAATAAAAGTTTTTAACGTTTCTCAAAAAAAGCCTAATTAAGCCTTCTAAACTTAAGTTTAGAAGTAAAAAAAAAAAAGACGAAAAACCCTATATTAAAGTTACTATACAGTTTAATGTTTACATAAAATTGTTTGTTATTTTTAAGATGCAAAAATTATATTATGCTTTTATTTCACTAAATTTTTTTTTTTCAATTTTTAATTTTTGTTTTAGTTGCACAGTAAAAATCTAACGGTCACAGAGCGCTGCTGAAAAGCATTAAATACATGTCCACACCTACTTTTTTCCTGGATCTCTTGCTTCTAAGCCAAGAGCTCTAATGTATATATAATGTGTGTATATGTGTCAATGGGTTTAAGGCTACAGAAAACGTGTAAGTGTAACGTAATAAACGGCAGCTGCTAACTATAAAAATTACTATAATTATCCTTTTGCTAAAGTCAAAATGTCCTATAAAAACTTGAAACAAAGCAAAAAAACGACAAAAATTTGATAACTATAAACATTTTTTTAAAGGTGTTTCAATTTTAACAATCAGAATTAGATTCAATGTCGGTTCAGGCTAGATAAACAATATTGGTACGTGAACATCCGGTTATATACACTTTCGCGGTGCTCTCTGATAAAACCGTAGTCTTCTTGGAGCGTCCTAATAACTAAAAAAAAAAAAATTAAAATCAAACAATAGCCCAAAGACAGCAGTAATATAAACTTTCATAATTTATTTAATCGAAAATTTATAAATAATTGGCTTTCAAATTGTGTCAATGATTTCCTAATCGTAAAACGTCGTACTCAAACAGGACACAATAGTTTAATTTTTTGTTCTCCATTAGTATGAGGTAATCTCGTTTTTTTTTTCAAATTAAACTTCAATAGCGCTCAGCCTGCATTTTGAGAATTCCACTTAGACATAGATGCCAATTTCGACTTGTTCCTATCCTAACAATCAAAAAACAAAAAAATATTGAAAAACAAAATTTATATAATAAAAAATAAAACCAAACAAAACCAGGACAGTCAATTTGTATTTTTTTGAAAAACTTTTTATAAAATTAGTAAATTTCTTAGCAAGAATTAAACGCATTAAATTACTATTAAAAAATTTCAAAATCCAGTATGAAAGTTTAATTCATGATATTCATCTGAGCGCCAAACGTCCGCAAAATTTTCTATCCGCCATGATGGGTGGCAAAAAGAAGTAAACAAATAAAAAAACGTCGAAGATCTTAGACATTTTTTTGACATTACAGCTCGAGTTGTTGCGTACCAAACTGCGAAAACAAAAAATTAAAATGCAGTAAATAATATTTTAATAAGTTTTCAAAAAAAAAGAGGAGCAATGGACGTTATGACAAGCGGTTTTAAAGAAAGACTTTAGTTTAGCCGAACTGTGAACTTTACACATAAACACAGTATTGATAAAAACCATGCTGACTTTTTTTCCTCGATTAAACACCTTTATATAAAAAGTAAAAGAAATTTATTGTATATAATACATCAAATCGTTTGAACAAGAGATCTACCAAAAGTGCTCATTGAAGAAAATAATATTAACAGCTGATTAAAAGAATTTTTTTAAATTGTCAAAGAATCTGAGAAAACTGCCAAAATTATAAGAGCTAAACAATGAAATCAAGAAATTAAAAAATGTAGTTTAAAACTTAATGAATACAGCAAAGTTCAATTTAAAACTAAATGAAGACAGCTTAATTCAGTTTATAACTTTATAAAAACATCAAGGTTCAGTTTAAAACTTCATGATGACAGCAAACACTGCACTTCAACACGTAACGAAGACAGCACAGTTCAGTTTAAAATGAAATCAAGAAAACGACGTTCAGTTTAAAACTTAATGAAGATAGCAAAGTTCAGTTTACAACTTTGTTGTAACATGTAAATTTACAGCTGTTCAAAACTTAATGAAGACAGCAAAGCAGCAATTGATGAAAGGGGAAAAATCGCATTTTTTATTTTCAAAAATTAACTATCAATAAAAACAAAGGTTTGATAATCAGATAGAAGAAGGAACATATAAAATTTTAAAAGACACATTTTTATATGCCCTTCTTTCACTATTGACAATATTTGAATTATTTTATTATGCATATAAGAGCTATGACAGGCTCTTAAAAAACACAACTTTAAAATAATGTTTAAGTCAAAGGATTAGGAATAATATTTATTTACTTAATCATTCAAAGTTACCTCGCAAATGGGGTTGCTTTGAATATTTTTTGCAGTAAAAGCAAAATATTTTAATTGGTTTTAATATTTGATAAAAACAACATTCTAGGTTTACATAAACTTAGTATTACTAAAAAAATAAAATATAATTTCATACCGAGCCCTGAAAAGTTTTTTTAGTATTCGAAATGTTCTATACAAAGTATTCTGGCTAACCTAAGATTTTATTTTTATAAGTGCTGAAATTATTTAAATTCATCTTTAGTGATGTCTTTATTTAAAAATATTTATATGTTATTTTTAAATTTGGAAATATTTTATTCAAAAGTTGTATAAGTTCATGACTTTAACTGTTCTCGTTCTTTTTTGTAAAAGTTTCTCACTTTATCTGAATTAGACTCTATATTGTGAACATTGTTCAGAGGTGCACATAGAGTAGAAGATCCAGGATCATTAGACGACGAAAATTACTAGAAGTACTTTATTAGTCTTATTATTGTTATTTTTAAGATATAAGAGTTAAGGCCATCTAGTAAATTTTCAATTATCTACCCTGTGCATCATAAAGACTCTGTGTGCCCCTGACCTTGTTATTATTATTTTTATTGTTATTTTTATAATGTTAATAACATCTTTTTTTTTTAATAAATATTGTGTTTATTATTTTAAATTTGTTTAAGTATATCCTTAAATGTAAGAACTATAATCTAAAATATATTATTGATTGATTTTCAGATACTCAAAATTACTGTAATATAGTTTTGCATGTAATAAGATGCCGCTCTTGCATGAGAAAAGACTGAATTGCATTTATAATTTCTCAAGTTTCTTGAAAGCTAATCAATCAATTCATTAGGGTTTTAGAAAAAGTACTCTGACCTATACAACAGTTACTGTATATATAAACCATAGACCTTGTTTTAACTTGTTTATTATCTTGATTAAAAATAAGTTTAAAAGGAATGCTATGAACCAGACAACAGGTTACAAAGTTGTAAGATTTAAGACGTTTGTAGAATTTAAAACTAGAGTTTGTAAACTGATTTAAAAAGATAACTTATTAGATAAAATACATCAGTAAAGTGAGATTAGGCCATTTGCCTATAAGAATTAATTAATTGTACAGTCTTTTGATAATTAATACGGGTCTAAATTAATCTAGAACTGCTAATTTTTATTATAATATCCTATAATACTTATAAATAAAGACTTTTATATTTCGGATATGGCATAGTTTGCTAAGAAAGCTACAACCTAATCATTTTTTACGGATCTATTTTAGCCGACTTTAGTTTGTTTATAGTTTTTTGCCACCCATCATGGCGGATAAAAAATTTTGCGGACGTTTGGCGCTCAGATGAATATCATGAATAGTATAAAATAAGTAAAAATGTGTGTATTAATCTTTTAAAATCAAGTTAAATTAATATTTGTGTTTAATATGCTATACACACACGCGCGCGCATAATTATCATTATTAAATAATTATATATATATATATATATATATATATATATATATATATATATATATATATATATATATATATATATATATATATATATATATCATATACTTTTTATTGCTCAATATGGCATCCACAGTCGTTGAATATCTGACTCTTAAAAAGAAAGATGGTCTCTAGGTTGGCATTTATTGTAGCTATTTACTATGGGTCTGCCTTTATTAAATTCAGTAAGGCAAAGCATGTCTCAATGATTTAAATGCTTTTAAAATAGCTATAACAATTCAAATAGTTAGAAAATAAGTTAGAAACTCAGTTTAGAAAAGCATGATTACACATGGTATTTCTCTACTAAAGTTGTCGTACTATCGTTAGTTGATCCTGATCTGAAAGCAGAATCTTTTCTGATCATGATCTGAAAGCAGAAGTTTTTAATTATTGAGGAGCTCTTAAAATGTCCAAATCCTGAGTTATCAGAGATTTTCGTAGAAGCATATTCAGCTGTTTTTGTCTCCATTGTTTAATCTTAGATAAAAAAAAAAAAACATTGTTATCAGTACCTTAAAGTTTCAACTTTGGCAGCTCAGATGGCGACATATCTTTTGTTATAAGCTTTCTATGTATCCTGACTACCAAAGGAATATTCTGTCATTGATTCTTATTGTGGGAAATATGGACAATGTTTTCTATTAAACTAATATTTCTTTCTGTGCAGTCATTGGTCACTCTAAGCTAGCTAACTAGCTGAATGAAATACCTAAATGAATTTAAAGCTCAGAAATCATTTAAAGATTACCATTCTCAAACAGAACCAGTATGATCTGCGAGTATAAAAAAAGCCATTGTTATAAAAAAAGGATATTTATAGAAAAATAATTATTTTTATATTATTACTACATATCTGGGGAAAATTTCAAGTTCTAAGGCATTTGTAACAAATACTTTAGTCTTCAACTAGAGTTTGATTGCCTACAATTAAGTCTCCTTTAAGGAACTGTTTGAACTTTTCTATAGCACCTTTGGCTGAAACTTTTGGGTAAAACTCTGTTATCCATTTCTGCTGAAAATCTTTTAGCAACATATTAGAAGGGGCTTCAGAATTTACCTTTGAAATGACTTTAAAAATCCAAGTAATATTTATCTCTGCAATATGGTGCTTACACAATAACCAAAGAAGGTTTGCCAAGTAATCTAGTCAATATAGTTATTACACCAGATTTCCATCAAGTATTACTTACTATGGTGTCAGAACAGAATCCTACAGTATAGTCAGCAATTTTAAAACGTTCTTGGAGGTTCATAATACATATTTTAGCTGCATCGCTTCCCTTACCACTTTCATTTGGTAAGACACCAAGAAGATCTACGTTTATTTTAAACTCTGGGCTAGTGACAGATACTGATAGTCTGTCTGCAGTAGATGTATGTCCACTGTCCTCCTCAATATCAATCAAAATGTAAAACTAACATTTATTAGCCATTAAATCAGTATATTCTTGTTTCTCTTGTTTCAACTTGTTTTTCCGCGCAGCGGCCTTGTTCGTCAAGGTTCGTGTTTCGGAGTTATAGAGTTGAGAGACACAATTAAGTAGCCTCCTCGTCTGTAGTGGCCTTCTCGGCCTTGGGGAGGTGAAATAACAACAACAAAAAAAAAGAAAAAAAATATTCAGTCCGATATATCTGACCTCCTTCCTCTGCTAAAACATGTAACCTCGTCTTCTTACAGATTTTCTGCTTAACTTTTAAATGCTGAGACCAGACCTTATCTGATACATGTTGGTCTAAATGGATGCTTCCTTTTTAAGATCAATTTATGATATGCAACATTTTTAATTGGGACAAAAACTTCGGAATCAACAATTAAATAGGCAGCACCTAAATTAATATAAAGATTTCTTGCTCAGTCACACATATACTTTAAAAAGTGCATTATTTTATCTGAAATTCCCATGTATTATTGGTAAAAAAAGTTTACATTCTTCCTTATTTTTAAATTAAATAAAAAATTTTATGTATAAAACAAATTAAAATTTGAAGTTACCCAACTGTGATTTAGCTATTAATTTTTTAGGTGTAATAGGTTCCTCATCAGAGAAATCAGGATCTGTTTTATAGTTAAAAAATAAATTATGGTTCAATGGCCTTTTTGCACTTATTTCCTCTTCATTAACAAATTGTTGAATCATTGCTTTTCTTCAATCAATATTTGTATTCTTCTTTTCTCTTGCATCTTTTTTTTTTTTTTTTTATTTGCATTCACTCCCAACAAGGCTGCAAGCAACCACTATTAAGTTGGGAGTTACTAGGAAAAAAAAAGAACAGAGTTATAGAGCAAGGAAACGGTTGACAGAAGACTTGAAAAGTTGAAGGTTATATGAGGTACGAAGGTTGTATGTATCTATCAACCTTTCTCTAAAAACTTGCTTTAAGCTGTGTCAATTTTTGCAGATATGATCATATTTCTGCTCTGTTGTTAAAAACATTTAGTTAAACATAAATTTAACATAAAAAAATACTAAAAGTAAGTAGATATGTTATGATCTGAAAATGCTTACTGTTGTACAAACTATTATATTTTGCATTAAGGTGGTACACTACTAAAAAGCACTTTTTTAAGAAAAAAATTAAAATAAAGGCAAAAACTAGAGAGATATATATTTAAAAAAATATTTGAAATGAAATTTTTTTCATGAAACCCTGAAAATCGTTGGCCTATGTAAATATATTATGCTTCTAGTATTACAAAAATTAAAAGTTGTAAAATACACATTTAAAGTTTTTTTCAAGTCAAATCTTGTTTAATGTCCAACAAAATCATATGTCAGATTAGTTTTATTGGACTTTTACTTATCACTGAACCCTTTGGCTACTGATAACAACTTTTTTCATTGTTTTATATACTTTTTTATTGACTTTCGCTTCATTTGCTTTACACAAGATTTGTCAAATAAAATAGATGTTGTGAATGTTATATACTCATTCAAAGTTTAAAACACTCAAAATACCTTTACTCCCATTATTAAAACAAATAACAGCAGAGTATGTTCAAATTTCAACTATTTTTTTAATAAAAAAAAGTGTTCTTTGGAACTCTGAACCTTACAATGGCATTCAAGAACTCTTTCAGATTTTGAGCCTAGCCATGAAGATATTTTAATAGTAGTTGATTGTCTTGGAAGCTTTAATAAACTGGTATTAACAGATTTTTTACTAAAAGTGGAATTGAGTTTGGCGACATATACTGTTTTGTTTTAAAAGAAGCCTTTTTAACTTTGACTTTAGGGGTGAAATAAGGGTTTTTGTTGTATCAAATAATACAAAAAATTTTTTTTGACATTTTACTTCAAAATCAGTATTTTTTTAGTAGTGTATCACCTTTAGAGATTTAAACTTTTCTACTATGCTCCTCTCAGAAATTAAACAGTTACTAAAAACTTCTGACTTCAAAGTATTTACAATTTTTTGGAGCAGTATTTTTCTATATTAGAATTACACACCCCCTCCTTACGTTTAAAGATAACATTCTCTGGTGCTCCAAAATATGAAAAGTTTGATTTAATAGGTTTGAATCTTTTATCTCTGTCTAAGGTCAGGTACAAGTAATCTTTTAAAAACATTGAGAACTCTATTTCGTAAAATACATTTTAAAATTGTTTATATCTTTGAGCTCAGAAATATTTTCAGCTAAGAAATTAACTTCTGTTGCAAATTATTTATTTATAAACAATAATTTCTTACAAAATGAATTCTTTCATGGGTCATTAAGAACTTAATTCTAGTTTAATATCTGAACAATCTTAAGACATTGCAGAGAGGGAAAAAAAAAACTTGCTTTAAAGAAGCAGATAAAAGTTGATTGCCCAGATATTCATCTGGTATCTCAGAATTTTTTAAAAAAGGGTTATTTGTTTAGTTCATATTTGATAACATATAACCGACATTTAACTTGCTGCGTAAAAGAATTTATTTTTTAAAAATACTTATAAAAAATCCACTAATAACACTAAGCAACAACAGATGGAATATTTATTGTAAGATAAGTTTTCAGTGCTTAGTCCTTTTCTTGTTGTTTTTGCTTTCTCAAAAATGTTCCGTGTTGGTTTACTGTCGGAGTTATTTAATACAGACATTTTAAAATTGACTGCAGAGACAAAAGAAGAATTATTTTGATCATTTCAGTGTCAGAAAGCTAGAATGAAAGCAAAAAAGCTTAGGATATCAAGAATACAACAAAAATAATATTATTTTCAAGATAACTTTAGATTAGCTGATGGGTTTGATCAAGTTCAAAAAATTATCACTGCTTTTAACAATACAAGAACTATGGTAGTGATAATTTCATATGCTGCACAAGACATTTGACAACTCAAGTCAATGATATAGGAAACCAAGTTTAAATGTGTCATCTAATATTGTTCAAAGTCAAAAATAAATTATTTGGAACATTTTTTTAAAATCAACTTTGCAATTAATAATTTTGTTTTTTGGAAACAACAAATTGGGTCAAAGCCAAAAAGTTTTATTTTTTATTTTTGTTGCAATATTTGTTGCTGTAATATCTTGACTTTTAAAGGACAATAAAAACATTCCATTGAGTTAACATTAGTTAATTGCATTAATATTAGTTACTTAAATTAATATAAAAATCATTTTAAAAACTTACAAATAAAAAAAATATATATAATAAAATAAATAAAATATTTACCTTTGAATAGAACTTAAATGAATGTTGGATATGCAATTCTTTAAATTGATCTGTTTTGCAATTTTTTTTTGTTAATAACTACATGCTGAGTTAAACAGAGATTTGATAGTTTACCCGTTAATATAAAATCACCATATAGATATATTACAAGAGAGTAATGTGTAACAGTTTTTAAAAGACAATCTAAAAATAAGTTTACACATTTTATTAGGTAGTTTAGTATTATCAAAGTGTTGTTACCTTAATTAAGCTTACAATTAAGACTGAATTCTCTTTATTTTCAATTATATACCTGCTATTACCTGCTAAAAAAAACAACTGCTATTGACTGCTTTTTGCACTTTTAAATGACAGTTAATGAAAAATTACTGAATGTTATGTAAATATTATTAATAAACTAAATGAACTGGTTATGTCATAACTTTCTTTATTTAAACAAAATGTTATGAAATTAAAAAAAGAAAATAGTTTATTAAACTATAATTCTTTTATTAAAAATTATCAAAAAAAAAATTTAGCAAATTTAAAAAAAAGGTTTGAATAGCTTTTATTTAGAACAAAGGGAAAACCCTTTGTTCTAAATAAAAAACCTCGCTAATAAATGGTTATTAAAAAATGAAAGGAAATCTCAAAAACTACTGTTTCACAATTAACTATGCATAAAAACTATATATTAAGATATATTAAAAAAGTTAAACTGGAAGTAATATATATTAAAAAAGAGCTGGAATTATTGATTAACTAATACATTACTTAAATAATATAGATACTTATTCATATTATCTATAGTAAAATTTAATATATTAACATTTTATATTTAAAAAAAAATCAATGTGACCTTGTAACTTTTTCAGTTTTCATATATAAACATAACATAAAAAATTCCAAGAGAAATTGTTTTTACAACAACATATATTTATATATACTAAATATTGTTTAATAATCTGTCAATTTTTTCCTTTCTGTTTTTACTTTTACAATCAAGGTACTCAATCCAAATTTTTTTACCAAATTTTTCAGCTCTAGAATATTATCAACATATGAGTTAAACTCTTCTTTATAAATTGGTTTTTGTGACAAAATATATGGCTTTGCAAAATGCTTATTTATTAACGATAATTCTTTTGATGTAAATTCTTTTCTGATTCTTTTAAATCCTTCCTTGGATTCTAACTGATAATCTGAATAATCTTCCGACATCACAGAAGAGGATAAACAAGAAACCTGCTGTGAAGAACTAGATATAGGGTGATTGTCTGAATTTTCTTTTAACTCAGAATTTTTAAAAAAAGATCTACTTGTTTGCTCCATATTTGTTTTGAGACTACATTTAATTGTGTAGCGAACTGAATCCAAAACTTTTTTTACGTGCCTTTCACTACTAGAAAGGTTTTATGACATTAACTTTTCAGCAACCATGCTTTTATTAATAAAGCCAGTTTTTATCTCAAGACTGAAAAGATCATTTATTTGCTCTTTTGATAATTCATTGTCATATTCTCACTGAACAAATTGTCAATTTTTACAAAACAAAGCTGCCTTTTTTTGCTTATCAATAATATTGTAGTTTTGTTCAGCCACACTTAGGGAGTGACACAAATGATTGGCTGCATCTTTAGCCATTTCTTTGTGATTTTCATGAATTAGTGTAGTAGAATATTTTCTCACTAAATTAAGATTAATATTCCTTTGTTTAGATGTTTCACCAATTGCTTTTGACCAGTAAGTATTAAACTAACCTGTAACCAAGGTTGAATCCATCTTTGACCCTGACCAACTTATAAAAACTGGAGAAGTCTTTGCTGTTGAAACACCTGGAAGATGGGCTCTAACATGCTTAATGTAGTTTGCTGTATCTTTAAATAAATTTTTATCGAAAGCAATGTGGGCTGGTCCCTTGTAAGACGTTTTATGTTTTTTTACACTAACAACATATCCATCTTGCTTATCAGCAGAATGAAACTCCTCTAATGTCATGTTTGCTATTGCTCCAGGTCTAGAAGCATTATTTAAAACAAGATGAGTAAGCAAATAATCACGCACATTGCAAAAGCCAGCTCTTGTTATGCTAGGATTATTTACTTTACACACATATTCTTTTAAAGTTGAGATTGAAAGTGCTCTTAATTCAGACTTGTCAAAATTGCTTATCTTATCGTGATTTGGAAATTTTTTCAGATCTTCTAAGTTTTTGTTATGCTTTCGCTCCTCGATACCTTTCCATAAATCTCTTTTCCAAGCTTTTAAAACTGGTTCAAACTTCTTTATTTTTTTATAATCATATCCAATTCGCTCAGTAACACACAAGAAACGTAAAAAATGTTGCACAGAGCCATGGTAAGTTTTCATAGTACCATTTAACCTTTTTTTACCTGTTATACTTACACTGTTTGAAAGCCAATCATTCATAAACTTTCGATCAAACAAATTATCAAAGTTAATATCACTGTTGTCTTTGTATCTGACAATTGCTTGAATAATTTTGCTATGTTTGCTAGCTTGTCTTTGATCTTTTGACCCTCCATCTCTACTTTCAAGAAAAATAACAAAATCTTTGATTAATTTATCCTCTTTGACAGATGACATAAAAAACTTATCTTCTAGATCATCAAAATCAACATCTTCATTTTCTTCATTTTCATTTTCAAAGATATTAACCTCCTCTTCAATACCATTTATTTGAAAGTCAGAAGAAACTTTATCTTCATCAGAATAGCAGGCATTTTTAAAAAAAAGTTACATTCTAATTTAGAACGGTTAGAATTTCTAAACGTTGAAAAAACTTAAAGTAAAGTAAAAAAGTAAAGGAGCCCCTTTTACTTTTTTGGTGGGGGGAGGTCTTAAATTTATAGTTACGCCACTGGGTTAGAGTTAGGTTTAGGTTAATGTTAGGTTTAGATTAAAGTTAGGTTTTAGAGGTTAAAGTTAAATTTTCTTTGAAAAATGCCTTTTTTACCTTAAAAAATTTTGTAAAGTTTTTTACACCTTTAAATAGAACGGAAAAACTTCTAAAATACGGTGCCACACCTTTTTAAAAATACTTTGTTTTCGCTGTTTAATGCGAAAGGAATTTTTTTTTATTAGGGGTAAGGCAGAAGGGAAAGTGGGATGGGGGTTATTGGAGGTTTTACTCTTTCCTAATTTAACTTTGCTTATAAAAGATTTACGATTTATAATACTTGGTAATTGAGTTGATAAGTGCGAATAGCATCAGATTCGTTTATAGTCAAATAAATCCGTTTAATTTATTTCAAAAGGAAATAATATTAAAAATAAAATTAAACGTCTTGACGATAATAAAAAAACCTCTACTCAAAATATTTTAGTCATCAAAGACAGGTGTTGTATCAGACAAATTAAAAATAGCTAAAATTGTTCCGATATTTAAAAGCGGTGAATTATACTTATAAAATAACTAGAGACTTACTACTTTCTCCTGGCCTCCTAAACGAATAATTTATAACAGATTATACGAATATTTAACTAAAATTCTAAGTAAAAAACAAAACAGTTAACCGAGCTACAATAAGTAAGTTAACCGAGCTACAATAAGTAAGTTAACCGAGCTACAATAAGTAAGTTAACTGAGCTACAATAAGTAAGTTAACCGAGCTACAATAAGTAAGTTAACCGAGCTACAATAAGTAAGTTAACCGAGCTACAATAAGTAAGTTAATCTAGCTACAATAAGTAAGTTAACCGAGCTACAATAAGTAAGTTTTTTGATAAAAAAAAAGTAATATACAAACCATTCATCCCTCATTAAAAATAGATAAACTGAAACAACAAAATTTTGTAGAGTAATAATTGATGAAAACCTGGAATACCCATATAAATACCTTAAACACCAAAACTTCGAAAAATGTAGGAATACTCTACAAAATAAAATTTATGTTGTCTCGAGATAATCTAAAACCTCTTTATTTTTCATACATTCATGGTTATCTTACGTATGGTTATTTTACGTGGACAAATACCCACAAATCCAAATGAAATTCTTTTTGTATTAAACAAAAACATTAAGGCTAGTTTACAATAAAGATAAACCCATGTTAAACCTCACACTAAAAACCTTGATTGCACAAAGTTTCTACCAAATTAATATCTATTAGCATTCTTTATTCTTGAGTTTGTGCCATCACATTTATCAAATTAACACAAACAGAAAGACAAAAGAGAAACAGTAAGATTTGCATTACTAATAAAAACAACGAAGTTTTCACAATTTTCTATTTCATACTGGGGATCCTACCTTTATAACAAAATAATATCCAAAAATATAGAACTTAAAACAATAAAAAACTCACTTTGAAAAAAACTAAAATACCTCATACTGAATTCAAACTGTTTTATTGATATGTATTTATGTGTATCGTAATAATGATGAGCGTATAAACCATTAAATTAAGGTATTCGACAATAAGACTCTCTAGTTTTCTACGAGAATTGTATTACAATGCTTAACAATACTTTTAAGTTTGCTGTTATAATTCCTTAATATATAGATTAAATATTTTTAACACCAATTACGAGGAAGTTCTTAGTAGCCCAGTGGAACTACGGACTTACATACATTTTTTAAATGTATGGTTTAATAGCCAACAATATATTTTTTAAACTACAGACTTTTAAAAAATGCCATTATTAGCTTTCTTTATGATTTGTAAATATTTTTAATACCTAATTCTTCGTTTTCTTCTTCATTTTTCATCATTGGTCAAATAAATTTAAGTAAGCAAAATTGTGACGTTTGGCTCACCTTAAGAGAGAGAGAGAGAGAGAGAGAGAGAGAGTGATATTATTACAAGTAATAAATGTTTTTTAGTTTGTACTCAGATTTCATGTCTGCCAGCAGTGCCTTTTTTATTTTTTGATGATTTTGAACATGTATGTTTTCTTAGGGATCGTCCATAAAATACGTACGCTTGGATAGGGAGAGGAGATCTACCGATGGCGTATATGAGATGGGAGGCAGAGGTCAATTATAAAAATAAAAAGACACTAAACTAAAAAAATATATAATAAAATGTTGGGTAGGTAGGTTAAAGGCGTAGGTACTTTTAGGTAGGTGGACGTTACTCAAAAAAGCGTATAACAAAATGCAAGGGGGGAGGTTTAAATGTCAAAATAAAAGCGTACGTACTTTATGGACGACCTCTTACGGTAATATTGTTACAAAATAGTTATGCAACAATGATGTTGAACAATTCAAATAGAATCTGAACTAATCAACCTCTGTGGTTTACCATTAAATACGTCAACAAAATAGGGAAGGGGGTTCTGAGTTTTTTTGACTAGAGGGAGAGGGGGGGGAAGGAAGTTGTGACAAGTTGACGTTTTTTATTTTTTAAATACGTTTAATAACTTAAAAAATAAGAAAATTAGGTACCATTTGCAATATTTTAATAAAACTATTTATACTTCTACTTTTTAAAAAATTCGTGTTTTAAAATGACCCAACACACACACACGAACTAAATAAGCACACACGAGATGTTTACTCATAACACTATTATTTTTTTTAAAGTTTTGGCCCTTCCGTTCAAAGGTCTAAAGTTAAAGTAAGGAGGATTGGCACATTGAAGTGTTGCGTTATTTTAAAGCAATTTGAAAAGTTGCTCAGTATAATTTTATATAATTATTTGTTTATAATAATTTAAATCTAATTAAGTCTAATTTAAAAATCTAATAAAAAATAAAATGCTTAAAAATAAGCTATGAAGTAAGGTCTAAATATCGGAATACAAATAGGTGTCTATCAAGTAATTATTAATATATACCAAAAAAGTATATTCAATTTACTACCATCCGGATGGTAGAATAGGAACACCAAATGCGCAGTCATCTTCTATACCTAAATTATAAAAGCCACCTTTCCCATCTTTATACAACGAGGTAACCATACGAAACCATCCTCTCTCTCCCCATGGCTCTCCCCATGAGTTTCTTCCAATCCAGAATTCAACACCGTTTTCATCTACCCCATAACCATGAACAGATATAGCGTGGTTGGCTATAGAAACTTCGTTATATTCACTATATATTCCACCTGTATATTTGTCAAAAAGAGGTGTAGCCATTATCACGCAAGCAATTGGTCCACGTTTAAATATCTCTGCCATCATTTGTTCGCGCCCAGACACTCGTCCTAAAAGCAGTAGTCACGTTTATTAAAATAATAAACTTCAAGTAAATAAAAGCTGGGAAAAAAAGAGACAATGAAACGAGAACAAAAATGATGGAAGAGACCATACAAAATATCAAACTTACCATATTCTGAAACCATGAATTTTGTGTAGTTTTGCACAGCAAAGCATTTACCAAAAGTCAAACATGTTCCGCATTGGTTAAATGAAGTACATTCTTGATCAATGGCTTGGTAGTTATTACAGGTTTCATCTGGAATTCCATTTTTGTGTGCATATTCATAAACTGCTAAATTACCACCACCATGGCATGTACCAGCATCAGCTATAACAAAATAAGAGATTATCAATTGTTTTAATATTTTGTACAAAATTTTATTCTATCACAATTAAACATGCTGTACCGCAATCTAATACATGCTGAACAGATAAAAGTGCAGATGGAAATGCACCCCCACGAAGAATATTTATTCTATCAGCAAGTGCGCTTGTTGTCGCATGTGCCCAACATGATCCACAATATTGAGGAATATGTTGATTGCGAGTAGTACTTGCATAGTTAGTTCCATTGAAGTTTCGCCAATCCACATTTGTAGGCAAACTTGGTAAGTGAAGATATTCATGAGGTCGAGGGGTTTTACTAAATTTGCATTAAACATTATGCAAATACTTTGTCAAAATGTATTTACTAATTTAAATGAAAAAATCCACTAAAATACAAAATTTCAACATACATGACTTCAACAATGTTAGCGTCGAATTCTGGGATATAGCATTTTCTGTCTTTGCCTGGATGGAACGGACTTGCTCGAATCAAAACTGAGAAAAGTAGAAAAAAGAAGCCGTTTGAAATCATTTCTTGCATCTAAAAAATAATTTACTTTTGATTATAAAAGTTTCAAGCTATAGTCATATGATTATTGTTAAACATAACGTAATGTTTGTTTAATGTATTTGAATGGTGATAATTTGTAACTCTTGTCACTCCATCCTGTTTATAGTGCACTCCATCGCAATACGAATCACTGTTTGCTTCGTATTGCGATGGAGTCAAAGTACTCAAATCCAATCAAATATTTTAAATTGATAAGATGGACCAAGCAATGTCTTTGATGAAACCTTTTAATACTCATGTTTTTCTACATATATCGGTGGCTGATTCTAAAAATTCTAAGAAAATATTAACTTTTTTTTGAAACATCGAGTTAAACTTTCCTGAATCATCAAGTAAAAAATTTTCCTGAAACATCGAGTAAGTGTTTTCACGAAACAAAGTAAAATGGAGTCAAATTAAATAGTAAAGATTTTAATGATTTTTTTTTACAAATAAATGATTGAAAAAATTTTAAATAAACATAAAGCAGATTAACTTTTTTTTTAAGAAAATTTATTTATTTGAAAAACTTATTTTTATTCTACCCTAACGTTTAGGGAGAATAAAAATGTAATTAAAAAAAATGTAATATTTAAAAAAAATCATCCAATAACAACAATTTAAAAAACAACCGATTATTAAACAATTGTTTAAAAAATTTTCAATCATTTATTTGTAAAAAAAAAATCATTAAAATCTTTACTATTTAATTTGACTCCATTTTACTTTGTTTCGTGTAAACACTTAATGTTTTACGAAAACTTTTTACTTAATATTCAGGAAAGTTTCACTCGATGTTTCAAAAAAAAGTTAATAATTTCTTATTCGGTACTAGAATTTTTAGAATCAGCCGCCGATATATGTAGAAAAACATGAATATTAAAAGGTTTCATCAAAGACATTGCTGGGTCCATCTTATCAATTTAAAATATTTGATACTATAAATTATTTAATATTCTTGTGATAATGATAAGCCATTGGAAGATTTTGGAAGTTTTCACATGTTAATTTTGGAAGTTTTCACATTTTTTGAGGCAACAAAACTAGTAGCCTCTTATTAATCGCTTTGGAAAGCATGTTTGACGGAGCCAAATTGTGCATTGACAAAACATTCATCATTTTGACTTTTTGAAGTTTCGGCAACAACTTTACGGCTTCTTTACGACTTGGTTTCCTGCTGTAACTGTTGTTAGAATTGCTTTTGTTTTTAAAGTTACTGTTGTTGCATTTGAAGTTGTTAATAGCATCTTTCAATTGCTCGAGTACTTAAGGTTTATTTAGACCCTCTTGTTTAAATCTTGGCGCTTCAATTTTTTTTGTCAATTTGTTAAATGCAAAATATTTGTTGCAAAGCTGCGGTGAGCGATTAGACAAATTGCAGTTGTTTTTTAACTTCTTTTTAAATCTCCATTTTAATGACTACAATATTGAAGGTTGGTTGCAAGAAGTTGACTTGAGGTGGCTGAAATGGTGTAGTTACTGTTGCTAGTGGTGATGGCAATGGCATAGATTTTGGTGATTAAAATGTTGAAAACTTAGGTTAAGATAACGGGCGTTACAAACGTACTAGCAACTTATAAATTTGACTGATAGATTTCATCGATGACGAACAGGTTTTTCACAATCCAATAACTTTTTGCATGCAAAAACTTAACCAAAAATTTTTTTTTGTATTTGATTGAAACATTTTTTTGATAAATTGGTGAAGTTTCTCTCTTGATAAAATTGTTCAACTAAAAAACGAACACGTTTCGATAACTGTAGTTCAACTAAAAAACAAAAGCATGTACACGAAATAAATGTGAAAGTACAAAAATAACTAAAAAAAAGTACTCTTCAATTTTTATTTCTAACCAAGTAATAACTTTAATACAATAATATAAGAAGATCAAATATTAAAAAAAAAATCAAATTAGTGGGAATCTAATAAAACTTCGAACTTTTGCTTTGGTGGTACCCATAAGCTTGTGCACAGAATTTGAAAAATTTCAAAATTGAAGCCATTTGATGTTTTTTTAAATGATATTTTAATATCTTGAATATTTTTTGTTTTTTTGTTTTTTTCATTTTTCTTTTAATGATGGCCCAGTACTTTTCAATAACTCTTATTTCTGGGCAGTTTGGAGGATTTTTTGTTTTTAGGCACAAGTTTCACATTATTATTTTATACCATTCCAAAGCTAGTTTACAATAATGAATTAAAGCTAAATCTGGCCAGAACACAGGTCTCTTATCGAGTGATTTAATGAGAGGTAAAAGGCGTTTTTGTAAACACTTTTTAACATATATTTGACCCGAAAATGTGGACTGAGAAATATAAGGTGCTGATTTTTTGCCACAACTGCAAATAGCTTGCCAAATCAAGACTTTTTTAGCAAACTTGTTTTATGAATTTAAATTTCTTATCTGCTTTTCCTCTATATTTGGCAATATAATAGACTTGGGATTTTCCAAATATTTGTGCATAATTTTTTCTCTTATGTCTTCTTTTATCATTTTTAAAACTAATTTTAAGTTGAATCAAAAACTAATACATTTTTTTGAAACCACAACACGTTGTAAACAAAATACAAAACAATTAAAAAGATTTTAATATAACCATTGAAAAAAAATGACGTACTTATTCTTTCACATTTATTTCGTGTACACGCTTAAAAACGTTTCGATAACTGTAGTTCAACTAAAAAACGAACACGTTTCGATAACTGTAGTTCAACTAAAAAACGAACACGTTTCGATAACTGTAGTTCAACTAAAAAACGAACACGTTTCGATAAAGTTGAGTTTAATTTTTTAATTAGTTGTTAATTAGATATTTAGTGGAAGTTTTTTTATTAAAAAACCTTTCTTTAATGGCGGAGAATGAGCTATAGAACAAATATTTGTAAGTCTGTTTTTACATGACGTTTCCATTGCGAATCATCTGATAATCATAAATCCATTTTCATACTAGTGTACACTATATATTGTGTACCATTCATTAAAAATTTGTGTTAGTTATTTCCTATTATCATTATCTTACAAATTTTATAAACCACTCATTAGACTTTGCATTATTAAGTCAATATTTTGTCAAAGATTGATAATGTCATTACCATTTTTTATTTCTAAGGATTTTTATATCGTCAGCAAATGTTGGGTCTAATTTGTTATCATTTTTAAACTGTGGAACTATATTAGTGCACCATCATAACTTTTGGGATTTCACTTGTTTCAAATGATTTATTAAACATTATGCTAGGCTAGGGTGGATTCCTTTAGAACTTTTGAATGAACTTTGTTCCTTCTATTTGTCTTATTAATGTCTAACTTGCTTCCACAACAGAGGCTTTAAAATCTACATTTTTAAATACGGATTTCTACAGACTGTTTGTTTTCCTATATTTATGATTCAAATTGATGACGCTCGTGGTTTATTTAATACCGATGCAAAATATTCAAAACAATCTTTGTATTTTGCAAGTAAATGAGTATCCCTGAATTTCTTCATTCTACATTTGATCCAAACGTTTCTTTTTTCTTTTAACAACGCTTTCAATTCTTTATTTATCCAGAAAAGCCTTATGTTGGTTCAAATACTTCTCATTTTAATGACTAGAGTAAAGAGCTTACATTCTTCTTCATAACGAATCACTTAATTTTTGTAACATTCTTAATTTTAAAAGCTTTGAATTTATTGCTTCAGTATACAAGTTTAAAATAGTTATTTTATTCGTCAAGTTTCCTTTGATTGTAATTTAACATGTCTTTTTAAAAACAATGATGTCATTCTACTCCTAATGACCATAGTTAAGTTTAATTATGTGATTACCACGGTCAATACCTTTAAATAATAGAAGATGTGTCATTTTATAACCTTTATTTTTATTCTCAGTAACAAACAAATTCAGCACACTCCAATGTTATTTTAAAACGTTGTTTCAATCACATTTTGTTGTCAGGTCAGGTTATCCTGCTACTGGTAACATGACGTCCACTACAATCTGCTTCATGTCCTGCTGCCTTGTAAGATACGTCTTTTTAGGCAAAGGCTAGGAGATGCCTACTCCGACATAAAAACCCCCTGCCTTGGGGTTCTTGGTTAAGTAAAGGCTAAAGATGGTGTCGGACAGATGTTAAATGCATCCGGCTGCTGTCTTGTAGAAGGCCTCCTAGGCAAAGACTTAAGGGGTAAACAGATTCTATCTGTTGAGCAGCCTCGCACCCCTTCTTCATCTATTAGGCTGACGCAGATGTATTTTTAATAAATTATTTCCAGTTTAGGATGTTGAATGTTGGATCTTCTTGACTCGATGCATGGATTTTGCTTGTGTCTCTATTTTTATCATTAGGCAACTCATTCTATTATCTCCTAATGAGAGTACAGCTCTAAAACTCAGTTTTATGGTTCTGAGGCCGGCTGAGAGCTACCACAGATTTCCCGAAATCTGTGGTAGCTCTCAGAGGGGCTGATTCTATCAACAGCTGAAAAATATCAAAGTATTAACAGTGCAATGTTGCGCATGGATGGCGTCCTTGTTTGTACTTTTGGTGTGCATTGCCAAGGCCACATTTGAGCCATTTGGTATGGCTTAGGGTTTAATTATAGTATGAACAATTTCTTGGCCTATTAAACAGTGCAATGAGTACTAACTATGTTTCGATTCAATTTCTTTAACAAATTTAAAATTAGATAAAATTAACAAAAACTATAAAACGCAAAAAACCACAGTCATCACCAAGTTCATCATTCACTAATATTCGTGGTCTTCAAAGTAGCTTTTCTTCTGTTGAGTCTTATCTCTTGCAAAGTTCACCAGACCTGCTTGCTCTTTGTGAGACTCATTTGAGTTTAGTTGTCTTATCTTGTGATCTTAGTTTTGATGGTTATCTTCCTTTAACTTTTTAAGACTCCAATAGTCACATGCTTGGCATTTACATTTGTAAGAATTCTTATGTCTTGTTTCTGATCCTAGTCAGTGCTCAGTTTCTCCACATTCATCCTTAGGCTGGCATGGAATCCTTTATTTCCTCTCGACAATTCCAGGTCAAGCCTCACTCTTCTCCATGGTTTTCCTTACATCGTGCTGCTGCAATTGCTAATTGAAATCATTACTTCCATATCTATCAGCAAAACAATTCTCCACAAAACAGACGTCTGTTTATTACTGCTAGGAACCATTGTAAAAAGGTTTTGTCTAACGCCAAAGCCCGCTATTCGCAGGTCATGAAATCTCGCATTTCATCACAAAAATTACGCTCTCGTAACTTCTGGAGAATCTTTAATAGTATCAATAATAAGAGCAATTCTGTAATTCCACCTCTTTTGTATGGTTCAGACTTTGTCACCTCACCTAAAGACAAAGCTGAATTGTTTGCTAAGAATTTTTCATCAATATCATCTCTTGATTCCATAATTGCGTTGTACCTGATATAGCAGTCATACAGGTTGATCAATTGCTTGACATTCGTATCACTCCAGCCTCTGTATCTAAAGTGATTTCCTGCTTAGACTCTTCTACAGCTTGTGGCCCGGACAACATACCTTTTACAGTCTTGCAGAAGTGTTCTCCAGAACTGTCGTCTATTCTTTTAAAACTATTCAACAAGTGCTTATCAGAGTCTTGTTTTCCAGCCTGCTGGAAAGTAGCATCTGTTATCCCTATTTTTAAAAATTCTGGAGGGCGATCTGTTTGTCTAACTACTGTCCCATTAGTCTTTTTCCTATCATAAGCAAGGTTTTTGAATCTTTAATTAACAAATACTTAATCTCTCATCTTGAATCTAATAACTTACTTTCTAATCATCAATATGGATTTCGATCTTCTCGTTTTACGGCTGATTTGCTAACAGTAATAACCGATAGGTTTTACCGTGCAGTAGATAAAGGTGAAGTGGTTAAAGCCATTGCTCTTGACATTTCTAAAACGTGTGAAAAATTTTTCTCAATAAGTTTACTTCTTACGGTTTATCTGGACACATCTTTAAGATAATTGAATCCTTCCTTTTCAATCGTAGTATAAAAGTTGTCCTTGATGAACAGCATTCTTCTTCTTATTCTGTAACCTCAAGGGTTCCTCCAGGTTCAATCCTTGGCCCTATACTCTTTTTAGTTTACATTAACAATCTTCCAGATATTCTCACATCTAAGGTGGCATTGTTCGCTGATGATGCTACCATTTATTCTTGTCATGATAAGAAGTCAACTCTCTCTGATTGCTTGGAGGGGACATTTGAGCTTGAAAAAGATCTCACTTCTGCTACAGCATGGGGCTCACAGTGGCTGGTGAACTTTAATTCAGATAAAACTCAATTTTTTTCAGCCAATTGTTATCGCGATAATTTAGACCTTCCTATATTTATGAACAATAATGTACTCGATGAGCTATATACCCTTCATCTTCTCGGATTAACTCTTACTTCTGATCTTTCTTGGAAACCATATATCAAAACCGTTGCAAAACTATCATTTGCTAAAGTTGCATCTCTTTATCAAGCTTGACACTTTCTTCCTCTGGATTCTATTCTCTATCTCTATAAATCTCAAATCCAACCTTGTATGGAATACTGTTGCCATTTCTAGGACGAATCTTCTAGTGATGCCCTTTCTTTTTTAGACAAGGTGCAAAAACCCATTGTAAACATAGTTGGACCTGCTCTTGCAGCCATCCTTCAACCATTATCACTGTTGCTTCTTTTTCTCTTTTCTACAAATACTATAATGGGCACTGCTCTAAAGAGTTAGTGTCTCTTGTGCCATCTACTAAAATTCATTCTTGTGTTACTCGTCGTGTAATTAAGTCTCATCCTTTTACTGTGACTGTTTCTAAGTGCTCCAAAACTCTTATTCGTCTAGTTTTTTTCCTCGAACATCGGTTTTTTGGAATTCGCTTCCTTTATCTTGCTTTGCTGATTCATATAATTTGCAATCTTTTAAGTCGTCTTTCAATCGTATTTTGCTTTAGTGGTTGCTTGCAGCTTTGTTGGAAGCGAAGATGTTTAAAAAAAAAAAAATTTGATGCATGAAGCAATGGTTTAAACATTCTAAAATTTTTTTAGCAGATTTATTATATTCACTAGTTAGTTTGCCTTAGTAATCATTTGACCGCTTGTTTTTGTGATTTGTAATGTAACTGAAATCATTGTTTGTGATAATTTTAAAAACAATGATTCCAGCATATTTATTTGATAAATTCATTAAATGAGCAAAATTACTAAACTTTGTAGTGTTGATACAATTATTTTTGTTGCTTCCACTTTTATAGTTACTATAGTTACTACCACATGTTATCACCTTATTCAATACACCAGATATTACTATATAAGTGTCATAATATAATAATATCTGAAGTTTCATAAGCTTTTATATTGTTTTGTTTATAATTACACACTCATCCACCTTTACCAACACCTTTGTCTCTTCAAAATAAGGTACATCCATTAAACTTAGTTACTGACTCCTTATTCAACCAAGTTTCACAAATCATTAGAATATTAGCTTTTTTTGAGTTAATTGCAAAATTTATCGTTTTCATTTTTTTCGTCTTTTTATAATTCACAGACCTAATCATTTAATGGAAATATGTCGTAGTCAACAAAATATTATACAGACGCTATAATATTTTAAAATTGCCTTAACTACACCGAGCAGAAAAAATGAACTTATTGAGACAGATTGCACATTTTTAAAACTTTAAACATTGCACGATTTACCAACAACTAAATTAAGTTTATGGTACACATTGTGAAAAACCTTTTGAATTTGTTAATCTAGTTCTAGAAAATACACCTTCGAATTTTCCAGACATTGCCCCTGCACTATCATATCTACGAAATCAACACCTTACTTTTTGTTTTGTTAATTTAGGTACCCCACACACTAAAAAATTATGCTGTTATATTGAACAAAAATACAACAGCATCGGGACACGATATAACAGCATAAATGGCGTTATTTTTTGTTATTATGGTGTTATTTTTCTAACTTATGCCGTTATATTTATTCAAATAACAGCAAAAATAACAGCAAAATGCTGTTATTTTATTATAAATAACAGCAAAATGCTGTTATATCGTTACCCAATGGCGTTATATTTGGCGTTATATTCAAAAACCTAGCTAACGGCATAATACCGTTATATTTTTTTAAACATGTTTTGTTTTTATTCAAGTAAAATCTAAAGTAACCATTGATATGTGTACCTTATATATCTAATTAATAGCAATTATTTGAAGTATTTAATATTATAATTACTTATAATGCAATTATTACTAGTAAGGCATAAAATATATATTAGAAATTAATTTTTATGTATACAATGAAGAAATAAAACCATTTTAACATAATTTTAAATAAAACATCATAAATGTACCTTGTAAAAATAATTTCATATTAATGATAAGAATCTACAAATAAATTTTTATGCAACTGCTCAAACCAAAATTTTTAAAGATGTGTCAATAAATACGAAGTCAAAGCTTTACAAAATCAATTATTTCAAAGAAAGCTTTATATCCCAACTTGTTTACTTTTTTAAAGTAACAACTTAAATATAAAATTAAACATTTAATAAAATAATAAAGTAAACAATAAGCGTTACTTAATAACATCAAAAAATTTAGTCAACTGTTTATATGAGAAATATAAGAGCAAGTCTTCTTTGATTTTTTTTCAAAGCATTCATTTAGCAACATCTCTTGGGAAAGGCAGTTGTGAAAAAGAAGATGGATAAGAGAGATCTAACAAATAGTATATGCAAACAATAACGCATAAAACCTCTTTAATTGTACGTAAATCTGTGTTGATCATTTCGCATCCTGATCTACTGCGAACGCCATATTGTGTTGAATTATACAGAACTTGTGGACCGTACTTTGCAGGTATCTTCAACTCATCGAGCAGATCATCAGACTTAAAAAAAAACAAATAAAATTTTAATTAAATAATTTCCAGAAATTTAATTCAATTCAGGTATTTTCCAAATATTTTAAAAGATTTCGTTGTATCAGATAAAAATCATTACTACTCTATAAAAATAACTAAACAGGTTTGATTTTAATATTTTCAGCTACTACTATGAATTTTATTCTTTTCAGCTTTTAATCTATTTTTGCATTATAATTCACGTATTATTTAAATGCTTTATACTAAGTTTATACTGAAATGTACATCTTGTATAAATATTTGTTTTAAACAAATAAATTCTACATTAAGCAGATTATTTAATACAAAAAGAATGTAGACATTTTCAGAAATTCATTATATGAAATAATTAAAAAGAATTGAACAGGTCCATAAAATATTTAATGTTACTTACTTCAGATTTCTTAAACAAGACAACCTTTGCTTTTTTGGAACATATTTTGCATTGTAAATCAAGCAAACTTTCAAGGTGATTTGAAGATCCTGCAAATGCTTTATTAACAAAAAACGTACACGCTTCTTCGATACTATACTGAGGGTAAAAGCGCTTAAACTCACCAATTATTAAACATGGAGACAGTGACAATCGAAGCGGGAGTTTTTCATATACTTTTGGTTGAAAAAGATTTCTGTTCAAAATTGCGAGAACACTAATAGATGGTTTTGATTTTATCAGTTCATTCTAAAAAATATTAGGTTGAAAATACTGTAAAATCTAAAATAAACAATAAGGTGCACATAATCACTTAACCAACAAAAAATTATATATTATAAAATGTATAAAATACCATGCTTTGGTGCGTTGTGTATATAATCAGTCATAGTATTAAACTGGTTTTGAAACGCAGGCCATTTTTTATAGATTTCATAGAATAACTTGAACTTTATAAGGTGACTAGACTGAGAGTGCATCAGATCTTTTTAAAATGACTTTTTTTAGTGCAGACTTTGAAAATTTATATGAATTCAATGCTGTTTTAGCTGCTATTGAGTTTCTATTTGTTGGAAACAGACCTCAATTATAATTGAAATATTAGATTACCTAGTTTATTTTATGCTCACCTAACCTAATCTAAAGTAGACTGAGCACTAGTTTAGAGAGGAACTTACGTGTTATAAGAGAATGGCCTGCGTTTCCAGACTGTTTAAATACTATGACAATGGTTTAATGTATACTTTATAAAATTACTTTATATAGTATACATTTTACAATTTTATAAAGTATTTTTAATCATAAAAAAGTATTAATTAGTGAAAAAAAATATATAATTATTAATTAGTAAAATATTTAAAGTATTGCTAATCATACTGCTGTCCAAATTAAGTTAGCATAATAATTAAACTAAAAATATTACCTCAACTTCAAGAAGAAGCTGGTCTTCTGAAAGCACTGGTTCAGCTTTAGATAATGAATCCATGATATACGGAGACCTTTTAGGTTTTGAAATCTGCTGAAACTGTCTACTTACTGATCCATTTAAAATTGGATGACTTTTAGTCCAACGTTGTTGCCTAATTATGTTTGATACCTGGCTTAAAAGCGAATCCTAGGAGAATTTATTTTCAAAAACTATATCACTTAAGGGTACATAAATAAATACCTATTAAATACAACAACAATGAAAGCACTATATGAGCTGGTGAGAATCAGCATGGTGTAAGTTAAAAAAAAAAAAACGAGTAAAGTCAATATTCATGACTACAAAGCATCATTCTGTTAAATTTGAGACTGGTGTAGGGTGTAAATTTATATAAAGAAACTGGCAGCTTTTTCTTTTAGTTTGTAGGGTTTTCTCTACCATAAATCTGAAAAAACCTTTAAAATCTTAAACTGGGAAAATGTTGACTTACACCATGGTGATTCTCACGAGCTCATATGCATGCAGCGTAAACACACCTAAACAAATATTGTAGGGCCATTAAAGAAATTCTTACCCAGTGTTCCAAGCAGTTTGGAAAATTAAAAAGTAGTGTTGACTTAAGTTTGGAAAAAAACTCTCTCCGAACCCATGGATCATTGTCTGAAGGAAGAGCAACTTGACAATATTGAAGAATATTATTTTTCAGCTCTTTTTTTAAAATATCATTTGTCGCAACATTGTTTAAAAAGTTCAAAGTAGATGTATTAAAAAAAGTCCTCAGGTGAGAAACTTCATCAGAATCAAAAGGAACTGTTGAAATCTGATAAAATAAAGGTTTATTTAAACAGTAATTTCATATTTTAAATTTTTTAAATGTATTTTTGCTGTAAAAACTACAAAATTATCATAAAATTAACAAATTATTATAATGTGCATTAAAATGTAAATTCATATACATATATCAAAAAAAATTTAGATTTGGCACTGCTAAAGGGAAAATATTGATTTTGCCATTCACAGAACTTGAAGAATTAGAATATTGGATGGTGCACCAAGGAAATATCAAAGTATCTGGATATATGACAACTTGTTCTGAAGATTCATAGCATATCAAATATGCTGAGTGTCCTTGTACCATAAGTTTAGAGAATTTAAAAGCCCGCTTGTCATTTTCTGATGATATTGAAAAGATTTTGTAGAATATCAACTTTTCTTCATGTAGGCATGAAATAATATCACCAATCTTGTAAATTATACCATTTACCTTAACAGAAATAATAGAGCCTTTCTTAAACTTTAACTCGTCCACTTGTCCATATACATCACCCCGTCTTTTTCCATTAAAAAAATTGCTTGCTGTATTAATAATCATCGTTTTACATGCTGAATATGGAATGTTCTTGAAGTTGAAGTGTCGAAAATTCTTCACAACTTGATGTTTTCTTTCATTAGCCATACACATATGTTCCCGTAGAGCCCCAAACTGTTTAGCTTGAGCAGGGTAGTGAATAAGGAAGTGTAACTTTGGAATGAATTTATTAGGATACAAACACAAAAATAAGCGATGATGATCTTGAATTAATGCTTTTAAATCAGATAAAAAAAGGGGAGTAACAATAGGCGACAAACACAATTGAAGCACTTGAATAAGTTTTGACAAACACATGAAATGGGCATCTGCTTGATCCATGTGCTCCAAGATAAAAAATGATATAACACAAGAAAGAGTCAAAGTTTGCCCACTGCTGAAACAACCATGAATCTGTATTGATGAATGTATCATATTAGGTTTTTCAATACCATTAGCATAGCTAAACCCTTGCAACCAATCATTGATTTCTTGCAGAGTAAAAAAATTGTTTTGAATGGCGTATGACAAAAATAATTCTAACTGAAGTGGAATGAGACCTTCCAACAAATCGTGCATAGGATCAAATAAAAGTTGTTTTGTCACATCAAATCCTGGAATGTTCGATAGTATACTTTTTGAAACAATGCCATAGTATTTAGACCATTTTAACTTATCAGGTTTGCTTAAACCAGAATTTAGTTCTGTTACACGTGTCATATGTTCAGCAGCATTTCGAATATTGCATTCTTCATGGTTAGAAAAATCTTTCATTTGTTGTCTGGTTGAGTTACAACTTCTGCAACAGCGAAATGTCTTTGCACTAAAGCCTTCTTTAAAACCTCCAATCGCATTTGCAGAAAGAGAGTCACCTGAGAAGTATACCACTTCAGCTGTAATTTTTTTAGAAATACCCATAACTTTAATAACAATTCCATTTTCCAGCTGGCTTATCGAAGAAATAAAATCACTAAAAAGAATGCTGTAAAAATTTTTATCTTTTACCCATTTAGTAAGAGTAAAAATTAATGGAAAGATAGTAGACATTCTACCGCAATACAATGAAGGGATGTTTAAAATCTGAAAGTAAAAAACAAACATTTTTTGCTTTTTACGCGCCTTTCCTAAAGGATTTGTTATTCCAAGGTTGTCACAATATATTCCAATTTTCATATGGTTTGTGTTCTTATTCACTGCTGTGAAGTCATTAATTTCTTGAGATTGTAATAAAAAAGACAACATTTCAATGAAAGGAATTATACAACCTTGCTTATTCAGACCAATTACTTTTGGAGTTGGAGCCTGTAAATTATTCTTGTAATACTTTTCCCTTAAATATTGTGTTGACAGTTTATCACAAGTTGCTTTTAAAGCTTCTATGTCAATATTAAATACAGAAAGCATCACCTTTAAATTACTGAAAATTATGTTTAAAACATTTTGAGCACATCTGTACTTTCCTTGTAAATGTAATGCCAAAGCTCCTAAATAATCTTCGTTAATTTTTGTGATACCAACTTGATTTACAACCTTGTTTTCTATTTCATTTTCAATAGTACAGATATTGTTCTGATTTTTGGAACATTTTTTGGAATGCTTTAGGAAACCTGAAAGGCTTTTAAATGTTGATAAACAAATTTCACAAAAAACGGCTGCTTGGTTACCATGCAGTTTTAAGTGATGAAGCATATGACTATAAGTTGTAGTTTTACAATAGTTTGGGGGTGTTTTCAGATACACCATTTGGTGCAACTGATGAAGATAGTTGTTTTACTGGAGGCTGGATAACATGAACACAACTCTCTTCAGCCATATATTGGTTTTCCGAGTTCCAACTTATTTTCTTTGGTGGTACCACAAAATCTACATAATCATTTAAAAGAGATGAAAATTGGCATAATGGAGATGATTGAGCTGTGTCTGCTTTATTTAAATCAGGTAAAAACCCAACTTGTTGAGAGTTGGGTATATTAACAAGTTGTGGAGCTTGAATAGTAAGCTCTAAATTTTGTTCATTAAGAAGAGCAGTAAAGCTATTAGCAGTTACTTTACAGCTGTTCCACTTGACTTCTTCAATCATGGGCAAATTAAAGGTTTCACGAACTAAAACATAAAAGTATGTAAATATAACTTGGAATCATTGACAATCGTCTTTACATTACTACTAATTCAAATCATTACACTAAAAAAGGAGTGCTATAGCACTGAAATATTAGTCAATAAAAATTATTCATTAAAGTCATTAAAATTATATATAGTTTTATTTTAACAGTTTGAAGAAAGTTGTAAGGTATTTTTAGATTTTGATTTGAAATGATACTATGACACTTGACTTTTATAATAACATGCACATTAATTAGTTATAATATATTATAACTATTTAGTATTTTTAATGCTTATAATAAATGCTCATGCATCTCAATAAAATAAAATATACCTACCAGCTGCACAAAATTCAAAAAAATTACTGCTGCTGGCAATAACTATTTCAGAGTTTTCTTTAAAATTAACTTTAATTGCTTTCATTTTTTTTTCACTTTTACCACCTCGTGCTATTGCTTTAGAAACTAACGTGTCAGTTTCAAAACTTCTTATTTTAATATGCCAAAATGTGGCAGCATTGCAATGATATTTTGCTTATATATTTGCTGTCACGTGTGACATCAAATATAACAGCAAGTATAAATGCAAAACCATCAGTAAAAATAACAGCAAATATAACAGCAAATATCTTTAAATATAACACTATAATATAACACCATAATATAACGGCAAACATAACACCAAAATAACGCCAAAATTGTTTTGCCTCTACCATTTTTTTTGTATCCGTGAATATAACAGCATATCCGTGAATATAACAGCATAAATAACGGCATAAAAGAATCAGCGTACATAAATGCTGTTATAATGCTGTTAGTTTTTTTAGTGTGCAAGAAAACCTAACGGTCTTGTCACAGAGCACCGCGGAAGCGCATTTAACCAGTAAGTTCACACCTCCTTCCTTACCGTGATGCGAAAATATGTCCAGAGCTTGTTTTGAACCTGGATCTCCTGCTTATAAAACAAGCGCTGTAACCACTGCGCCACGGCCGCACCGTATTAGACCATACACAAATAGTTAAAGTCTCAAACTTATATACTTTAGCTAAATCCATTGTTACATCAATTATGCTGATATCACTTGAGCTTGCACACAACCCTCTAAACTTAAAAACATATTTGGAATGCAAAAACATGCAGGCAGAATTATATACATAAAAACATATGTGATCATGCAAATTCGCTAATGAGGAACATGAAAATAAACAATGTACGCGAGGTAAATATACTTCAACACATTATCATTAAGAATCTTACACCAACAAATTTCGACAAAAAATTAAAAAAAAATCTTTGATATATGTTAAAAGTAACTTTATAGTTATATTTAACGATATATATATATATTTTTAGAAATTTTATATATATATGCAGGTACTGTTTTAAGGATAGACCAGATATTTTACGCATTACTATTAAAACATCATCAGTTTAAAGCCTGAAATCATTATTATTGATTATTTTACTTATAAAAACTAAAATATAAATTCCAACAAGTTCACAAGATTCTGCTCCATTATAACTGCTTATTGTTACATTAAAGCAGTCAGTCATATGTTTTAAAACAGTCAGTCAAATGTTTTAAAGCAGTCAGTCATATGTTTTAAAGCAGTCAGTCATATGTTTTTCTTTTTCCAAGTTTCCTTATTAAAAAAAGGTAAGATTTTTTTGTAATCTTTTATTATACGAAATTACAAAAAATTGTAATTGTATACAAAAAAATAATTATCCAATGAGTGGAAAATGTTTATTAAAAAAGTGGTGTATAAATGTGTTGTTTCCTCTAAAAATGTACCTGATAAACAATATATTGGCTTAAAAAAGGGTGAATGGAAAAAACGTTAAGCAATTTTTTAAAAAAAAAAGGTATTCAAAAGATACCAAGCTGTCGAAGTACATATGGGAATTGAATAATAAAAATATTGGTGATCTTATATTGAATTGGTATATCCTTAAAACAGCACTTGCGTGTAATAATAGGCCGTGTGAATAAAAATGAGCAATTGCTTTTATTCAGTAATTGGTCAGCTATACGTAAATAAAAACTTGAAAAATTTTTCTTAAGTTTTTATTCACGTAAAGCTAAACAATTACTGAGTAAACTGCTTAGTATCACGTAAATGAAAATATCAGTAAAACTACTAAAGTTTTTATTAACGTAAAGCTGACCAATTACTAAGTAAAAGCAATTGCTCATTTTCATTCACACGGCCTAATATTTCTACGTATAATTATATCTAAAATAAAAATTTGAAATAATTACACATGTTTCTTTAACAAAATATCGGAATTATCAATTCCCCATGAAAAACATTAAAAGAAAAAAATAATAAAAGCAGAAGTAATATGGTTGAAAATTTCCGGAATATTTCCGGAAATTTTCTGCTAAATTTTCAAAATGTTTTTATTGCAACAAACTTATAGTTATATAGTTTTATAAAATTCATTTCTTTGTTTCAAAAATATGCATTTTATCATCGTAGTATTTGTATTTTTTAAATATTTCAACAAAAAATATAAAATAATAAAGACCCCCAAAGCGAAAAATGCACATCTTTTAGTCAAATTTTTATAATCAATTAAAGAATCACACATTATTTAAAAAAAAACAATAAAACGCTTGTCATTTGTTATTTTTACTTACATTACTTTTGTAAAACAACTTTTGTAAAAGTAGATGTTTTCCGCGTTAGCTTTTCTTTTGAGTTTGTGTATAAAATATTTCTAGCTTTTACGATGTAAAATATTCATAATAAATCAACTACGATGTAAAATATTCATAAAAAATAAAAGAATAAACTCTTTTTTACATTAATAAATTTTCAAAATGTTTTTATTACACTGTGTATTATCTATAAAGACTCATCAATCGAATGATCAAATTAATAAAACTTTAATTTAAATCAAAAATTAAAATTTCACCCATTTGCGGAATATGCTGACAATATTATAAAAAGAATTTATTAGAATTGTTAACTTTTTAAAAAATATTTTATAAATTTTCAAAAAAAATAAGTTATTTTATAATTTACGGGTTATGCTTTATGTCTTATTTAGGCAGTTGTTAACAACAGTTTTCAGTAACTTGTAGGCCAATTTAATAGATATTTAAAGTTATAATAAAATTTAATAGATATTTAAAGTTATAATAAAAATACTCAACAAAATAACAAAAAAAAGTGTTTTTCAAAAGGGGTTTTCTAAAAATTTTTTAATCTACTTCACAATATTTTACTATAAAATTGTCCATAACATGTTATGGATTTTAAATATCTATTAAATTTTATTATAACTTTAAATATCTATTAAATTGGCCTACAAGTTACTGAAAACTGTAAAGTTATAAGTAAAAAGATTTGATTGAATATTTACAGTATTTTACAATTTTTTTCTTGATTTAAAGACGTTGTGGATCAAAAAGTGAAGAAATTTTTTTACCAAGTTTGAACTTTTTAAAAATATAGTTAGCATTAAAAATAAAGAGCTAATTATTTCGAGGTCATAAACTCCACCGATATGTTTAAATAAGTGCTTTTAAGACTTAAGTCTCACTCGCCACAACCTTGCTAGGTCACTTTTGACTTTATAAATCAATAAATTCAAAAATCGGGGTGGGGGGAGCTATTCCATAAAAAATACCAGCTGGTTTCTTTAAAATGAAAAGAAGATCCTTAAAAACTAAAATTTACCCGACTGAATTGTGTCAAATACCCTACTAGCCAACTAAGTTCGTCAAAAAACTGACTATAACTTAAAATCACTTTCTTTGTGGGGTAACAACCACTTCCCCAGACACCCACCCAATAAAATCGTCTTTGTATGCAATATGTACGCATAAAAAATCTTTGTTTCTTTAAAACAATTTACAAAAATAATACACTATAAAATTTATTTTCTAAAAAAGAGTTTATTCTTTGTATTTTTTATGAATATTTTACATCGTAGTTGATTTATTATGAATATTTTACATCGTAAAAGCTAGAAATATTTTATACACAAACTCAAAAGAAAAGCTAACGCGGAAAACATCTACTTTTACAAAAGTTGTTTTACAAAAGTAATGTAAGTAAAAATAACAAATGACAAGCGTTTTATTGTTTTTTTTTAAATAATGTGTGATTCTTTAATTGATTATAAAAATTTGACTAAAAGATGTGCATTTTTCGCTTTGGGGGTCTTTATTATTTTATATTTTTTGTTGAAATATTTAAAAAATACAAATACTACGATGATAAAATGCATATTTTTGAAACAAAGAAATGAATTTTATAAAACTATATAACTATAAGTTTGTTGCAATAAAAACATTTTGAAAATTTAGCAGAAAATTTCCGGAAATATTCCGGAAATTTTCAACCATATTACTTCTGCTTTTATTATTTTTTTCTTTTAATGTTTTTCATGGGGAATTGATAATTCCGATATAGAGTGATAATTCCGAGTGAGACTTAAGTCTTAAAAGCACTTATTTAAACATATCGGTGGAGTTTATGACCTCGAAATAATTAGCTCTTTATTTTTAATGCTAACTATATTTTTAAAAAGTTCAAACTTGGTAAAAAAATTTCTTCACTTTTTGATCCACAACGTCTTTAAATCAAGAAAAAAGTTGTAAAATACTGTAAATATTCAATCAAATCTTTTTACTTATAACTTTACAGTTTTCAGTAACTTGTAGGCCAATTTAATAGATATTTAAAGTTATAATAAAATTTAATAGATATTTAAAATCCATAACATGTTATGGACAATTTTATAGTAAAATATTGTGAAGTAGATTAAAAAATTTTTAGAAAACCCCTTTTGAAAAACACTTTTTTTGTTATTTTGTTGAGTATTTTTATTATAACTTTAAATATCTATTAAATTTTATTATAACTTTAAATATCTATTAAATTGGCCTACAAGTTACTGAAAACTGTTGTTAACAACTGCCTAAATAAGACATAAAGCATAACCCGTAAATTATAAAATAACTTATTTTTTTTGAAAATTTTTAAAATATTTTTTAAAAAGTTAACAATTCTAATAAATTCTTTTTATAATATTGTCAGCATATTCCGCAAATGGGTGAAATTTTAATTTTTGATTTAAATTAAAGTTTTATTAATTTGATCATTCGATTGATGAGTCTTTATAGATAATACACAGTGTAATATATATATATATATATATATATATATATATATATATATATATATATATATATATATATATATATATATATATATATATATATATATATATATATATATATATATATATATATATATATATTATATATACAGGGGCGGACTTAAACCCCGTCAAGTGCTGCAAGTGACGGGGTAAAAAAACAAAAATAAATATAAGTATTATGACGTCTAACGCCCGCCTAAAGTTAATTGCCGATCTATATATTTTTGTTAGAAAATATAATTAGAAAAAGTTTACTGTGAAAACTATGCTTTGCAGACGTTTGAAAAAGTGTTTTTAAAAATTGCTAATGTAAACTATACTTTGCAGGGTATTAGAAAATTGGATAAGTTCATTGGTTTACGCTATTAAAAGTAGCAATTTGATTCGTTTAAAAAAAAAACATGTTTAGTGTAAACTATCCTTTGCAGCATTTACAGCAGTAATTTGATTGGTTGGAAAGATCGGTAAACAACTCGAAAGAACTCAAGAAACTCAAAGAACTCCGTTTTAAAAACAAAGTATTTCCTTAAAATTTTAACGTATAAGCATGGCTTACAACTTGATTGATGATGTTCTTAAAAGATTTAAAACCGATAATCTTGCCGATTTAAATACTTTTTATGAAACTTTATTGGATACATTTATTTACAACAATAACAAAATGGTTAGTAACGAAGATCTTTTAAGTCGTTGTTTTAATAAAACAACGACTTAAAAGTCCTTCGTTTTTTTTTGGCTGGTTTTTTATGTTTGTTAGGTTTATCATCGGTTCTTTCTTTTAATATTGTTTCCTGTTACCCAGATTTCGGTGTTGAAAAGTATAAAATATTTTTTAACCAAGAGATCTCACCACGTACTCCCATTAAGTTTTGTTCCCCATTTTACATTTTGTTTTGTTATAATGGGAATTTTCAGTCAGGTACATTTCAGCATAATCACTATGTCCCACTAATTTTTATTCCTAAAAAGCGTAAACTTTCCGGTAAATCAAAAACAATAATTTCGAAAAAATTGCTGCCAGTCTTGTCACCTAATAAATTTCTAGATACAAAACAGACCATTCATCAAGTTGCTACAATTGTACCCAGTACAGAAGCTAAAAATCGAAATAAAAAGCCTTACTCTATCCTTACATTCTTTCATAAAACAAACCCAGACTTAGAACCTACTAGTGCAATCTTACAAAATACATCTTGTATTCTAAAATTAAATAGTTTTTCTTTTCAATTAGCAGTGTCTTCTTCTCAATCCACAACATCTTTTCAATCATTAACATTAAATAAAGATGTTTCTTCTCACTCAAAAACATCTAAGGACAGTGTTCTATCAAAATCTTTTTTTACAAAATCAAAATCAAGCATCAGGAAAGTACCTAATTTTTATAATAATAATATTGAATGCCCTTCAAACATTATTTTACCACCTAAAGAAGTACTAAATGCTCTCCAGTCTTTTGAGCAAAATGATGTTGCTTTCTTTAGACAAAAAGTTGAATTTTTATCTGACCATGAAATTTTTTTATTAACTAAAAATATGTTTATTCCCAATGAAGATTACATTTTCCCAAAAAATTCTGGCCGTCAGTTTAGATATCTTTGGTTGAAAGAGTTTTCTTGGCTGAGATATTCTAAAAGTACTGATGGGGCATTTTGTTTATCTTGTGTATTATTTGGCAATAAATTCAAACTAAGATCACGTAAGTTAACACATTTGTATTTTGGAGCCTTTCAAAAAATGGTCTGATGCTGTTAGATCATTTTCAAATCATGAGTCAACTAAAAATGGTTTACATGCATTTACTATGCCTGTTTTCAATATTTTTTCGAGTCATTCCTCAGGCATAAGTCAACCAATAAATGTCATCATTGATACTAATGTAAAAGAAAAAATAATAAAAAATCGCCAAATACTTCGTCCTATTGTTGATGCTATAATTTTTTGCGATCAAACCAATAAACCTTTGAGAGGCCACAGAGATGATTCACAATATCTTCCAGAGGCTGAAGAGTATTCGAAATGTGGAACTGGTTGTTTTAATAAACTTTTAAATTTTGCTGTACGCAATGGAAATGATGTTTTAGGCTAATAACTGTTCAAAGAATGCCTCTTACATTTCGAAGACTTCACAAAATGAAATTATTAAATGCTGTGGTGAAGAAATTAGTGAATCTATACTATTTGAAGTTTGCAAAAATGTTTTTTTTTCAATAATTGCAGATGAAGCCTGTGACTCGTCTACTAAAGAGCAAATGTCATTAGTTTTACGATTTGTTGATAGTGATTTCAATATCAGAGAAGACTTTATTCAATTTATTCATTGTAGTGAAGGAGGTAAAGGAAAAGATTTGTTTAATGTTCTTTTAAATTGTGTAAGCAACTTAAATCTAGATATAAAAAACGGTAGGGGTCAGGGATATGATGGAGCCAGTTCTGTCTCTGGGTATATAAATGGTCTTTCTGCTCAGGTTCTCAATATAAATTCAAAGGCTTTGTATACACATTGTCATAGCCATGAACTGAACTTATCAGTTTGTGAATTGTGTAATGTCCAATTAGTTTCAGAGGTTTTTAATAAAGTTCGCGAACTTTCTTATTTTTCTACTTATTCAGAAAATAGACAAAAGTTTTTAGAAGCTAGCATTTTAGAGCGAGAACCTCAAACGCATAAAAAAAAATTAAAAGATATCTGTAGAGATAGATGGATTGAGCGTATAGACACTTTTCTTGAGCATTATTTATCTATTTTCCATGCTTTATGTATCATGGCTTCCCCTGAGAGTTCTGTTAACAAAGATACACAAAACAAATCTTCTACTTTTTTAAATTCCATTGGCACTTTTCAATTCGTCTTTACTTTAGTTGTGACAACACGTGTCTTTGATTTTACTTTACCTGTTACTCGGTTACTGCAATAAAAAACTATTGATAGCTTAGACGGTTTGCACCTTATTATAGCTCTTAAAAATACATTTATTTCCATCAGAAACGATATAGATAGTTTTCATAATAACTGCTATGAAGCAGCATGTTTGCTTTCAAGTAAAGCTGAAATTTTTGTTTTAAAACCAAGGACCTGTTCTATTCAAAAAAATCGTTCTAATGTTCCATCAGAGTTTGTTTCAGATTACTTCAAAAGAGTTGTTACTATCCCTCTTATAGATCATGTATCTACATCTATATCTACAAGATTTAAATCAGAAACTGTAGCTGCATATAAAGGGTTATCAATTATTCCATTTAATATTATTTCTTTTCTTAAAAGATCCAAAACCCAATTGTGTTGGAGGAAGCAGTTTGAAGCATTCTGTGATTTTTATATAGATGATTTCCCTAATATCAGTGCCTTGAATGGGGAACTAGTTCTTTGGGAAAAATACTGGGAAACTTTCTTTGGGACTATTCCTTATAATATATCTTTAACTCTTAAATCGATATCATTTCCTGGATTTGAAAATATCAAGATAGCTTTAAGGATACTTGGGACACTTTCTGTTATCTCATGTGAGTGTGAGAGGAGTTTTTCTGTTATGCGTCGGTTAAAAGACTATATGAGAACAACAATGTCAGAAGATCGACTTAACGGTTTGGCATTAATGTATATCCATCAAGAAATTGTTCCTTGTATTGATAATGTTATCAATAGATTTTCTATAAAAAATAGACGACTTGATTTCAATGATTAGTGTCTATACTGTTTATTCTATAACACGCCAACAACTTTTGAAATTTTTGTCTATTATCACCTCTCTTCATGTAACAACTAACAAATAGGCATGGAAACCCCTGGAAAGGCCAAAACTTCAATGGTGTCCTTAACAGGACGGGTTAAATGTAACCCCATACTTTTGTTTGGGATTAGCTATATGATTAGTGATCATAGTACAGGCAAACATTAACCATTTCTTTTTGACAATCTTTTTATATCATTTTCTAGCGACAAAATAAAAAATTTAAAAAATTATTTTCATTATATTTTCTCTTAATCAACCTAATAATATTCATAAGTTTTTGTGCCATTTAAATCAGTTTTTTGCTGTAGTTGTCAAAACCATTAGCTTTCTTTTTACTTCATCAAAAATGATCTTCTTTCTTGTTGTTAAAGCTTAACTTGGTATGTCTTTTTTTTTTAAATCTTGTTATATAAGAATATATATAACTTTTTATTTCACGATGTATATAAATCCATTTGTATTTTTGTTTTTCTCTTTTCAGTTCTTAATTTTTCTTTCTCTGATTGTCCATGTCCGGAATAAATATGTTCCTAGACATGCTGATGAGCCCTGATATTGGGCGAAACAATCATTTGTTGGTTTATATATTTATTATATATTTATATATAAAAAAAGTTTCAAAGTAAAACTAAGATATGAGCTTCTCAATGAAATAGCAAAAAGAAAATCCCTTTAAATCCTCCAGCCCAAGGGCAGGAGGATTTAGGGAATACATAGGGGGCAGGCTATGGGAGCGATGGCCTCCCTTAGATGTTTTTTTATAAGAACATTTTGTAAAAACGTAAGTAAATTTGGTAGGCTGTTTAAAAGTGGCATAAAATTGTGTAGTCTAAATTCTTTTTTTTTTGGGCTTGCCTGCTTAAAAATCGTTAACCCTGTAAATCGTCCCCTTTAATCGTTTGGATCGAACGAAAAAAAAAATTGCCCACCCCTCTTTACTACATAGTCCGGATCCGCCCTTACTTATTCCTTCCCCCCCCCCCCATTTTTTCCATTTGCTTGGTGGGCGTAGTTGCGTCACTTACAACATGGCGTAAGGCGCATTTTTTTGACGGGGTAAATTAAAAACCTGTGTCCGCCCCTGTTATATATATATATATATATATATATATATATATATATTATATATATATATATATATATATATATATATATATATATATATATATATATATATATATATATATATATATATATATATATATGCAGTGGCGTAGAAAGGTTTTTAAATGTTTGAAATAACCAACTTTTAAACAAAAAGAATATTCCACATTTTTTTACTTTCATATGTATGACGAAAAAATTCTTCACAAAAAAAAAATTACTATGATGGGAGGATGGGAACAAGAGACCCTAAATTCTTAGCCCCCCCTCCTGTCCTAAACGTGAGAGCAACAAGTTTATGAAATATTTTTTGTACTATTTTCAACTAGACTTATGTTCATCGAGAAATTTTAAATTTCATAGTAAAATATTTTAGTGTTCAAAAATTATGACCATATTAAGTTTAAATCGCCCTCAATTTAATGGGGTTGCAAACTTTATAAACTTTTTAAATATTTCATCAGCTTGATGCTCTCACGTTTAGGACAGGAGGGGTAAAATTTTAGGGTTTCCTGTTCTCATTTTCCTATCACAGTAATTTTTTTTGTGAAGAATCTTTTCGTCATACATATGAAAGTAAAAAAAGCAGTTGTTGTGTAAGGCAGTCCTCAAATGGTAGCAAAATGTTAATTCTTACACTCGTATTTTGTTAAGAATTTAATGGTTGATAATCCTTAGTTCAATTCGTCATCTCCTTCAATTTTCCTTCAATTTTAAATTCACACTAATAGCTCGAAGTAAGAGATCAAAATTGCAATCTTTTGATAAGCCCTTTAAGAAGTATTTTATGGTAGGTAAGTTATAAAGTAACCCAAAATTGTCAGCCGAACAATAAAATAGTGAAATATGAATTTGTTTTTCAATCATCTCTACCCATATAGCTCTGAAATTGCGTGCAACTGCCACTCATCCTTGCTGCGGTAGGCTCTCTTGTCAAACCCCTATTCCGACGTTGAGCGTCCTTTGCGTCCGTGAGCTTGTATTTCTAGAAAATAGGTGAAATGGGGTATATAGGGATCTGCGCTTCGGTGTGCACATACACCGACTGATTTTTGGAGAAAACATGCAGCGGAGTGTGGAAACAATGACTGAGGGTTTGGAGTAGTCAGGTTCTCTTTTAAATAAAAAAGTCGTTTTTTTACATTTTCGGACCTTGAGGACAGCGTCGGAATAACGGTTTGACAAGAGAGCCTACCCCTTGCTGCATCACAAATATGGGGAAAATAACACGCGCTGGGCACGTCATTTTTTTAAATTTCGCGCTCTATCGGAAATAAACAAAACAAAATTGATATAATTTGTTTAATATCACATGATAATCATGTCTTTTTTTGTTTTGTTATAGATATTATTAAATTGTAAATCATATTAAAAAATCATTCGTGTTAAAAGACTTTAATAATAAAACAAAACTATCATGATTGGCTTTACAATTTTTAGTTTTGCTTTATTTCAAAGTACTGTCTGCATGCTTCATGTAGGCGATGAACCATGTTACAAACCAATTTTTGATAAAGGAATTAAAGAAGTAATGTAAGCTGAGTTAATTATTGTTTTTTTTATGAGAAACCTAAATGAATATCAAAGTTCTTTAATGTTTTTTTTTTTTTAATATTTTGTCAAGTGTGAAAGTAAGCTATAACAAAGATTTTTCTATTTATTACTTACAATTTTGAATTATAAAATCTTTTTCAAATTAAATATATAGCCTATATAATAAAGGGATGTGAGAAAATTTTGAAACTTAAAATAAAGCAATATTTTTAAAATTTTCAGAAACTTATTCTTGTTAAATTTTCTAAAAATATAATAATCATCTCTGTAGGTTAAGTATTTTAAAAGTTATGCAATTTTTAAAGAATGATTTTTGATATAAAGCACAAAATAAAAAAATGTATTAGTTTTTTGATTTAACTTAAAATTAGTTTTCAAAAAGACAAAAGAAGAACACATAAGAGAAAAAATTATGCACAAATATTTGGAAAAATCCAATAGTAGCTACAATTCGATAGCAAAAGTGTTGCACATACATCTATACGCCGTTAGATCAAATGTAAATCTGGTGGTGGAAGAAAAAAGGGTTTTAAAGATAAAAAACTGTTTAGAAAACTGGGTAACAGTTTTAAGACTAACCCAAGCCTTTCACTAAGGGAGCGTGCAAATATTTATGGACTTTCTCATAGTTTTGTTGTAAAAGTTTGAAATAAACATGGTTTTCATTCTTTTAAAGCACAAAAAGTGCCCAACCAATCTGAAACTCAGCAAAAAAGTGCAAAAACCTGCTGCATAAATTTGTATGACAATTTTATTTCTAAAAATTTTTGTATTAATGAAGACAATGAAACTTATGTCAAGTATGATCATCAGCAAAGTTCTGGTGCTGTCTATTATATTGTCAAATGTAGAGGAAAAGCAGATCAGAAATTTAAATACATAAAACATGACAAGTTTGCTAAAAAAAGTCTTGATTTGGCAAGCTATTTGCAGCTGTGGCAAAAAATAGGCACCCTATATTTCTCAGTCCACACTTTCGGGTCAAATATATGTTAAAAAGTGTTTACAAAAACACCTTTTACCTCTTATTAAATAACACAATAAGAGACCTGTGTTCTGGTCAGATTTAGCTTTAATTCATTATTGTAAACTAGCTTTGGAATGGTATAAAAATAATAATGTGAAGATTGTGCCTAAAACAGACAATCTCCCAAACAAACAAACCCAGAATTAAGAGTTATTGAAAAGTACTGGGCCATTATTAATAGAAAAATGAAAAAAACAAAAAAGCTTTGCAGAAATATCAAAGATATTAAAATATCATTTAAAAAAGCATCAAATGGCTTCAATTATTATTCTGTGCACAAGCTTAAGGGTACCACCAAAGCAAAAGTTCGAACTTTTATTGATTCCCACAGGAATAATTTGATTTTTTTTTTATATTTGATCTTATATTATTGTATTAAAGTTATTACTTGGTTGGAAATAAAAATTGAAGAGTACTTTTTTTTAGTTGTTTTTCTACTTTCACATTTATTTCGTGTACACGCTTTATGAAAACGCTATGAAAAGTTAGACCCGAACTTTTTTTTTCACAAAAAATGTTCATCTTTCAAAAAAATTTTCATAATATTAATAAATTATATATCAAGATAAAGCTTAACATATATTGAACGAATATAGAGTTAAGAATGAAAAAATAAATATAGAGTTTTATTTGTAAAAAAAATGAATAAAATAATGCTATATTTTACCTGTATTTTTTCTATAACAACTTATAAAAAAAATTTATATGCAAAATATAATAAGCAATAAACTATGATAAAAATCTATTGGTTGTTCAGTAAAGCCAACAAATTAGTTTAATTAGTAGCTCTGTTACAAAGTAATAAAGTCTTGAAACGAAATAAGAGAATAAGTGTTTTGAACGAATCAGATTTCAATTAAACTACCTTGTGATCCGCAAAACTTTAGTATGCGAATCCAAGGTAACAACACTTCAAAAATTTGTTCATTCACAACAATACCTTAAGTGCTTGATGCAATACTTATTCAGAATATGCACATCAGATTTACTTTTAGAAAGGGTTGTTTAATAAATGATATTCTTAAAATTTAAAAAATACCTTTGATTACTTTATGACCTGTGGTACATAGCAAAATATCAAGGATTTACAACGTAAAACTACACTATTATTTATTTATAAAAGTAAACATGAAGTATATCTAGAGATGTGACGCGTTTTTTTGGTTCTTGTTTTTTTGGTTTTTTTGGTCATTTTTTTGGAAAAAAAACATAGGGGTCTGTTTTTTTAGTTTTTTTGGGAAATATTCAAAAATTCATTGTTTAAGTTACTAAATTTAATTTTAATGGCAATATCTTAATTTATATTTTAATTTCTGATTTAAATAAGACAATAAATACTGAAATTTATTGAATTAATTTTTGTTTTGTTATGTTTAAAGGTTAACACGGTTGAAGCAGTCCTGTATAAAAACTTCTTTGATAATTTTATCTTTATTATTTTTAGTGTATATTGACACAATAAACATTGTTTATTTATATATTTTAAATATATATATATATATATATATATATATATATATATATATATATATATATATTATATATATATATATATATATATATATATATATATATATATATATATATATATATATATATATATATATATATATATATATATATATATATATATATATATATATATATATATATATATATATATATATATATATATATATATATATATATAAAGAAAAAGGATATCTTTAAATTATTGAGTGAATTTTTTTTTCTTGTTGGTAATCAACAGGAAAAACAAAAATTATAATTAGGCTCTCCATACAGGGGGCAGAAATAAAACCTGTCACCCATTTATTTAAACCTCTGAACCAAATTAGTAAAATGGAAAAAGATAAACAATTCTTTTGCCATAAGATTATGTCTAAAAATTGAATTTAAAAAACAGAGCATATTAAAGAATTTTGCAAGTGTTCTGATATAGTGCTATATGAAAGTATTTAGATAAATAAATAATGTAATTAGAAAAAAAAAATGCTGTTAAAAAATAAATTACAAATGAATAAATTACGAATCATCAGGTGAATGGGGTCTGGGAAACTTCGTAAGTGATAATAATTTAAAAATTTTTAAATTTTACTTGAAATTAAGTTCAGTATAATAAATATGGGCGTACTAACAATATATATTTTTTTGATATAACAAACACACGGCTGTTTCACTCAATATAAAAGCCAGCTTGGCGTCACAGTTTTTTTTGTGTTTATCAAAAAAAAAAGTATTTCCCCAAAAAAAGTTTAAAAATACAATAACTTTAAAATAATAGTGTTTTTTTCCTATAAGCGTTTTCATCTTCAAATTAAAAAAAATATAAAAGACCTATCTTTTTTTTTTAAATAAATATTTACATTAAACAAAAAAAAAATATTTATTGTTTAAATATTGCTAATGATTTGGGATCACTTTTCTGTTTTTTGTGATTTTTACGGAAAACCTGTCTTGGGTCGACTAAGATTTCATAACATAGCTACATGCCTAATGGTTGAAATTTGGAACATTTATAAATAAATGTCTATTCTATCTAGTTTTTGGTGCGGATTGCTAATTTTTTTTTTTTTTTTTTAAATTATTTTTGAATGCATTTATATTTTTAATTTTATTATTAGATTATGAAAACCGTATTATTTTTGTAATCCGCGCCAAGTTATTGAAATTTTAACCCTTTCTGCATATAAAAATCAAAAAATCGTTTTCTGTACCTCTATCTATATTATGAAATATGTTTTCAAATTTGGCTAGTTTAGAAACAAATTTTTCTAGTTTTATGCATAAAACTTTGTTTACATTTTAAAACAATCATATGACCTTAAGTACTATACGTCCCAAGCAAATATTTAATGAGTTTTATGAAAACAACTTTCTTAGCGAGACAAATTCTGAAGTATAAAATAAACAAAGTTAGGCAGTTTTTTTTTGTCGTGGGTAATCAACTAACATCAGAAAAGTTTTTTAATCCTATTATATCTTGTTCATCTATTTGTCAATAAATATTATTTTATTTGCATTGTTTGTGTTATATTTTTATTACGAGATTTATTTATCATTATTTATTCTACTGAAAGGGAAATTTTAAAACTATGGATTGAATGGGATAATAGTTGGGAAAATGAGTGTAACATTCCCTTTTTTAAGCGATTAATTAGCATTGATAAAATGACTAACAATGTAATTTCAATTTTAATGTCAGTTTTTAAGTCAAAAGCATTGTTTAGTTTAATGAGCTTTATATTGCCAATTGATTTTAATTTGCCTAGTTTTGATGAGTTCGATAATATGTGCCAAAATTTAATACACAAAAAAAAACTTTTTATAAAAAATTTTAAAGCTTCAAAAAACGAAGCCTTTTTTAAAATGCAACTGTCTCCGGCTCTTAAAAAAAAAAAAAAAGTCAGCAGATGCAGATGATTTTTTATTTTTAAATAGGACTTCTGAAAATAAAACAAATGTAGAGCAAATAGAGAAATTAAAATCGCAGTTATTAAAGTTGGATACTGAAATTTGTAATTTAAATTCTAAAAATAAGGCTCTTAGCACACATTGTAATTCATTATGTTCTCAAGTAAAGACTATGAGTATTAGGCTAAAAACAGGAGGAGCAGTTCCAACTTATTTTGTGTAATCTTGGTGCAAAGATTCTCGCCTCTGAGCCCAAGATTAGACAAGAACAAGAAATGCGGACAGTGCATGTCAATAAAGAACATGTCACTGTGAAGTCCATGTTACTTTATCCATCTGCGAATGAAGCACCTTTTTTAGTATCTGTACTGATGGTCAAGAATTTGATTACTTATATTGAAGAGGTTTTTAATAGTCTTCACGTACGCGACCACCTTAGTTCGGATGTTGGTTTTGGCGAAGAGGTATGGCTCCTTTTTGCTGGGGATAAGTGTAGAAAGTATATGAAATTCCATTTTGAAGTTGTCAATTCAAAATCGTCAGGGTCTGTATATGATGTTCATTTGTTTTGTATGTGTCAGGGTTCAGACTGTCGTGAAAATATTGCCTTAATTCTCGGGCATTATGCCAACGACATTAAAAGAATTCAGTTGCCAGATTTTAAGTTAAAAGGTAGGTTGTTCTTAGGTGGAGATTTTCATTTCATTGATGATGTTCTGGGACACCAGGGTTCAGCTGCTAGCTTCCTAGTTCTACAGATCTAGTTGAATTGAAATCTCTTAGAAGCCATGCTTCTATGCCTCACACACCTGCTAATTGTAACATCTTAAGGAGGACAATACAATCTCTGGAAAGTGCTTACAATGAGAACTTGTGTGAGAATAGGCAAGGTGGAAACTTAAGAGCTCTAGGTAAGTTTCATAAATCAAATATTGCTCCTGTGATATTCCCCATAATAACTTTAAATAATGTAGTGCCACCTGTTTTACATATTATGTTAGGAGTTGTGTTAAAACTGTATAAGTTATTGTTGAAGGAGTGTAAGACTTTAGATTGTCAAGCTGATTTGTCTTTTTCGCATAATGAGAATGTGAGAACGAATAAATTGTGGGCTGCTAAAAGCGTTGAATGTTCTAAAACACCAGAAACTTTGCGTTTATTAGGAAATCAATTTGTAGACATTGCAAATCTAAAGGCGCGATGGTTGGCTTTTAATAAAAAATTTTTCGAATTAGAAAAAATATCCCTTAACTCCTCCAATAAAAAAAAACTGTAAACAGCAAGAAATGTGTGCTAGTATCAGGTGTTTAATTACTAAATATGATTGTAATGTTGATTGGGTGCAGTGTGTTATGTGCCAAAAATGGTATCTTCAATATTGTGAAATTATTGGTGATTCAGAAAAGAGTGTATTGTGTGACATAGAGATGTACAAGTGTTTAGGTGAAGACATAGAATGTCTTGATCTTTATATTTCTGAAAAAATTTCTTTTATACGCGCACAACGCGAAGTTTTAGACATTGAATATATTAAATTGCAGATGGAGTGTGAAGACCTAGAAAAAATATCCAAAAGTAGCATGGGGGCTCATGAGAGGTCTCTTAATAAGGCCCTTGAAGATATGAAGGTTGAGCGACAAGCGTACCATAGTAATGTGTTTGTGGTTAATCATTGCAAAATAGTCTTAAGAAACCACTATAAACTTTGTAGTGTTATTGATGATGAGGCTATTAAAAATAGATTTGTACGTGTGTTTAGTGTTTTTAATAAGTTGCAACCTTTTCTTTTTAAGCGAAAATTTCTTTCTGATGCCGAAATTACTGAGCTTCATCAATATATAAATTTATTTGCTATCGAGTTTCATGCTTGATATATATGATAATAAAAACACATCAAACAAATAAAATTAGCTATTTTTACATTTAAACAAATGTTTTATTTTTTGTGAGAAGAGATTGACTCGAGTGCCATAAAATAATTCTATTACCAAAAGCGAGGTTAATTCAAAAACTTTAACAAAGTTGTGGTCATGAATTATTTTATTAGTCTTAGTGTGTCTTAATTTTTTAACAACTTAACACCATATTATTAAAACTCTATGCATAGAAAGAAAGAAATTGCTAAAGTTTTTTAAAGGCTTTAGCTTGGAATGTTAAGACTAAATATTTCAAAATCTACATCTGGCTTTATTTTGTAATGCATTGAATTTTTCAACGTAGTGAATTTTTTTCATATTTAAAAACGTACTCATTTAACAGATAATACCTCTTTAAACGACATTTTTAATAATTTTGCAAAAAATGCGGTTTACTTGCAAACTTCAATTGTAACTGTTTTTGTTAACCTTAAGCAATTAAGTGAGGTTTTTTTATTTTAATAATAGTCAAACAACGAGTGTAATTGATAATAACTATCAGAAATATATTTTTCTGATTTTTTTGTGATAAAAAGTAACAAAAAATTACTTTTATAATAAGTTTTTTTACTATTGTATTAAATATCATATGATAAAACATTTTATTTTTGTTTTTATTCTTTTTACAAAACAAAATTATCTCAAATATTTCAAAAGTTATAAATATTTTAGTAATACCTCCTAAGTAAATATTTTCCAAAAAAAACAAGAAGCCGTAAAGCTCACTCTGAAACAGCCGTGAACAAACAATGTAAGACTTAATTACTACATAATATACAAATGCTTAATTAAGTAAATAATCTTGATAGATTGCTTATTTTTTTGTCTGATATTAAATTTGCATGGTATTATGCATTAATATATTTACATTATCAAAATTAAAATGGTAACTTTTTTATAGAATAAGAATAGTTTTTATATATAATGAGGGTATCACAGTTGTTAGTACAACAAAGCAAAAAATAAACATTTTTATACAGTATGCCTAGATATATAACTAACTTAAAGCTAATTTATATTTTTTATAAAAAAATTATGTTAAATTGGTGTTTATACATCTAGTTGTGCCTTTAATGGCCAAATACTAAAATTATACTAGAGTAAAAAAAAACTATTCCAAAATTTATGTCAAAAAAAAAACTAAAAAATTGTTAAAAAAAGCAATACAGCACCAAAAAAAACAAAAAAACACCAAAAAAATGCCAAAAAAAACAAAAAAACACGTTTTTTTGCAACTTTAAGTATATCAAAACATAGGTTGATCTTTTATCTAAATAAATATAAAATTTCATTTTATTTGGTTCACAAATAGCTGAGTAGCCTGTTTTGGTCTAATTCTACTTTTTGCCAAAGCAAAAAAAAATGAGTTACGCATATTCTCACATCCCTAAAAAGTATATGAATGATTTCATTATGTTGTAGTTTTTTTAATAAACTTTGACTATTTAATTCAGATTAACTTCGCGACCTCATGAAACATTAAACTTGAATGATATACCAAAAAATTTTGATTGGCGCAATATTGATGGAAAAAGTTATGCAAGCACGACTAGAAACCAACATATTCCCCAATATTGTGGCTCTTGTTGGGCACATGGAACAACTAGTGCTCTTGCTGATAGAATAAATATCATGCGAAAAGGAGCTTGGCCATCTGCTTATCTATCTGTCCAAAATGTTCTTGACTGTGGTAGGTAATTAAGGTGACCAACAATCTCCTTTTTATGTAGAAAAGTATTGTGTAAAATTTAAATTAAATTTAAGATTTTTACAGTACTTCTCTACAAAAACTTATTGGTCAAATTTTAGGATGTTATTATTTTAATCTACATTTTTCTTTTTAATATCTAGTTTATAATTTGAGAAAAAAAGGTTTTGAGAAAAGTTGTATAAGTACTTGTAATAAAATACAGCTCCTGGCCTCGGTTAATAATGCTCTAGTAATTCTATATTTTTTTTTATAAAGAAGTTTATCAGTTGATGTACATACTGAAACTCGATTTTTGTTTTAGTATGTCATCATTAATTATTATTCAAATGCAACTGTAGTATTTATCTATATTATTATTTTTCTATCAAGCTAAAATGGTACAATTACCTAGCAGATTTTAATGGATAGATTTAAATCTCAACACTTAATTTAATTTCATCTATAAACTTTGAGAGTTTTAGCTTGTAAAAACACAAAAAATAATATATTTTTACAATTGATTTTTTAATTTGCAACTATTTCTCTATGTAGCAACATTGCTACATTGAAAAAAAGTTTCATTGTAAAATTTTACATTATTAATAAAAATACTAATTGTGTTGGTATTTTTTATTAATTGGCTATTTTCATCTGAAATTGGTACATGATTAATTAATGGTACAATGATCAATTACATGATTATTATGGTTTAAAATATTAAATCAAATTTTGTTGTTGTAAAATTATAACTTATTTTGGTTAAAACATTGTGAAATTTATAGCATTTTAAAAAACAATTTTGTTGATTTGGTTCTTGAAATTTTTACTTAAAGTATCAGAGTACTAACAGTGCCATGTTGCACATGGATGGTGTCCCTGTTTGTACTTTTGGTGTGCATTGTTAAGGCCCCATTTGGAGCCCTTTGTTACGACTTAGGGTTTATTAATATTAATGAGGCAATTGCTTGGACTATTAAATGGTGTACTGAGTTCTATCTTTGCTTTGACTTTGACTTCTTTAACAAATTTAAAAATGACTAAAGTACCAAAAACTATAAAACACAAAAATCCATTATTATCATCAAATTCTATAAACCTATCATTTACTAATATTTATGGTCTTCAAAATAACTTTTCTTCTGTTGAGTCTTATCTCTTGCAAAGTTCACGAGACCTAGTTGCTCTTTGAGACTAATTTGAGTTCAGCTGTCTCATCTTGTGATCTTAGTGTTGATGGTTATCTTCCTTTAATTCGTAAAGACTCCAATATTCTCATGCTTGGCCTGGGCATTTACATTCATAAGAATTCACCTATTTGTTGTGAAACTAGGTTTTAATCCATCAACTATTCTTTAATGTGCTTTCGTTTAGCACCACTTCATTCTATCTCTTTTCTCTTTGTTCTATATCGCTCTCATTCATTTCAAGACTGCACTCTTTTCGATGTTATTTCTGATCAAATTGACCAAGCCCTCTCTCTTTATCCATCAGCAAATATTTTTATTGTTAGTGACTTTAATGATCATCACACTAAATGGCTTGGCTCTAGTGTCAGTGACTATGCAGGCATTAAGGCCCACAACTTTTGTCTTTCTCAATTAATAACTCAAATAGTTAACTTTTCAACTCGCTCTCCAGATAATCCGAGTCATTCACCTTCTCTATTTAACTAATGTCTTTTTTCTGATCCTAGTTAGTGCTCAGTTTCTCCACATTCACCCCTAGGTGCTTCTGATCACGGTTTGATCTCTCTAAAACTATTACCTCATTCTTCATCATCTGAATCACTTTATCATCATACCTCTTACAATTATTTTAAAGCTAACTGGGACTCTTTCCATAATTTTCTTCGTGATGGCCCTTGGGTAGATTTCTTTCCTCTTCCTGCTGACAAATGTGCATCTTACATATCTTCTTGGATTAATGCTGGCATGGAATCTTTTATTCCCTCTTGAAGACTCCAAGTCAAGCCCCACTCTCCTCTGTGGTTTTCCTCACATTGTGCTGCTACAATTTTTAATCAAAACCATTACTTCCATATCTATCAGCAAAGCAATTCTCCAGAAAATAGGCGTCTGTTTACTATAGCTAGAAACTGTTGCAAAAAGGTTTTGTCTGCCGCTATTCTTAGGTCATGAAATCTCATATTTTGACTCAAAAAATACGCTCTTGTGACTTCTGGAGATTCTTTAACATTATCAATAATAAAGACAAATCTGTTAAATTTTTTGTATGGTTCAGATTTTGTCACCTCACTTAAAGACAAAGCTGAATTGTTTGCTAAGAACTTTTCATCAATATCATCTCTTGATTCCACTAGTTGCGTTTTACCTGATATAGCTGACAAACAGGTTGATCCATTGCTTGACATTTGTCATTTCCTTCTTAGATTCTTCTACACTTGTGGTAGGGGCAACATACCTATTATAGTCTTGCAGAAGTGTTCTCCGAAGCTGTTGTCTATACTTTCAAAACTATTTAACAAGTTCTTATCAGAGTTTTGTTTTCCAACCTGCTGGAAAGCGGTATCTGTTATTCCTTTTTTCAAAAATTCTGGAGAGCGATCTGACTCATTTAACTTTAGTCCCATTAGTCTTCTTTTATCATAAGCAAGATTTTTGAATCTTTAATTAACAAAAACTTACTTTCTGATCATCAATATTGATTTTGATCTTTTTAACATCTTTTACTTTTATAACTTACTTTCTGATCATCAATATCGATTTTGATCTTTTTAACATCTTTAAGGTTATTGAATCATTCCATTCTAATCATAGTATAAATGTTGTCCTCAATGGACAGCACTCTTCTTTATATCCTGTAACTTCAGGGGTTCCTCAAGGCTCTAACCTTGACTCTATAATCTTTTTAATTTACATTAACGATCTTCCAGATATTCTCACATCTAAGCTGGTCTTTTTTGCTGATGATACTGCCATTTATTCTTGTCTTAATAAGAAGCCAACATTTTCTGATTGTTTGGAGGGGGCATTCGAGCTTGAAAAATATCTCACTTTTGTTAATGCAATGGGCTCACAGTGGCTGGTGAACTTTAATTCAAATAAAATCCAATTTTTTTTCAGCCAATCATTATCGCAATAATTTAGATCTTCCTATATTTATGAGCAGTAATGTACTCGATAAGTCATCTACTCTTCTTAGAAAGGGCATTATTAGAAGATCAGCCCCAGATATGGCAACAGTAGTTCATCCTTGTATGAACTACTGTTGCCATATCTGGGGCTGATCTTCTAATAATGCCCTTTCTCTTATAGACAAGGTGCAAAAACGCCTTGTAAACATAGTCGGACCTGCTTTTGCAGCCAACCTCCAACCATTATCCCATTGTCATAATGATGCTTCTTTTTCTCTTTTTTGCAAATACTATAATGGGCACTGCTCTAAAGAGTTAATGCCTCTTGTGCCATCTACTAAAATTCATTTTCGTATTACGCATCATTCAATTAATTCTCTTTTTTTTTCTGTGACTGTTCCTAAGTGCTCCAAAAACTCTTATTCGTCTAGTTTTTTTCTCGAACATCAGTTCTTTGGAATTTGCTTCATTTATCTTGCTTTCTTGTTTCCATATAATTTGCAAATTTAAGTTGCCTGGCAATTGTTATCTTGCTCTATAAACTTCATCTTTTCTCTTCCAGTAACTTTCAACTCTAATAGTGGTTGCTTGCAGTCTTGTTGGAAGCAAAGATGTTGAAAAATATATATTTATATATGTATAACTGATTTAAAATAAATAAAAAATTTTACAGTGAATACTGTAACAAATGCACCTCTTCACACATATCTTATCATTACATACACATATCTTATCATTACATCATCATTCCTTATGCGCAGAATCGCATGAAAAAAACTACATACGCTTATATTTTTTTTTTTTTTTACATGAGATTACTTTTCTTTTTTTGTAATATAGAAATTGATTTTGCTTGATATAGATATATTTTAATTATCATAAGTCTAAAATTTATACTATTTATTTGTTTAACTCAAAAACACTGACATTTTTAAGCTGTGTGGGGAAACAGGTTGAGCACAGTAATTTCAGATAGCGCAGGGTAGATTTGAATCTCAACCTCTTGATTGCCGAATGCTGAACATTGAACACAACATGATTCTATTTTTTAGATTATGAATAGATTTGTTTTGCAAGTGGATTTGTGTCTTAAAATATCTAAAATGGATTCATTAAGAACTATTACAATATTGTCATCACCAAGTTCAGTTTTGTCATTTTGAATAAGCAAATAGTTATATAGACAAGCTACACCCTAAATTTTGAATTTATTATAACAATATGTACCTGAACTTGATGTGTAGCAACTTTTATGGTACATAGTTTTGAAGATTTAAAAACCATTCAAGTCACTTAACTGCCCAAACCACATAACTCTTGTTGTTTATATGCGATAGTGAAAAGCTGAAAAAAACAAATTGTATGCGCAGCCCAAAATTGGCTTCTATATATTATATTTAAAGCAACTGAATCTAAATAGCACAAGATATATCTCTATTGTGTGTGTTTTTTCACCTTTTAATTAATTTGATACTGATGTTCATTTTCATCCCCTGTTTTTGTATGTGCATACTAGTTTCCAATATATTATCTTATCAAATGAGCAAACATGTTGCAAACTTGCATGCACATAACATGTGTATTTATTGTTTAAAGGTGGTATGCACTTCATAAGGACAAGTCCACAGTCTAGTACATTAATTTTTTTTGTCTGACAACCTTTCATTTCCAGACTGTGAATAAAGTGTAACCATTTTTATATATAGTGTTATGCTTGTGGCCTTGTACTGAATTTTGTACAAACTTTACAAAATAAAAATCAAATACCGATATAAAATGACAGATCTAAAACGCTTGTTCGAACATATAGGCATTTGAGAGGAGAGGAAAGGTATTAAATAACTAGTAATCTAGTTATTTAATTGTGCTTTAAAATTTAGTTAGTAGAGTAATTATTATTTCCTTT